TCCACTATTCTATCCGCCCGTCGTACAACAAATATGGGCTGCTAACGACAAATTCTTACCTGGATCTTCACGGGTCCCAGCAAATGTAGTACAACTTTGGACGTGTTTGTATTGTTTGTTTATAAACGCATGTGCTAATAAGCAGCTACAGTCATAAACCATTGGGTCGAAGCTGTAGCCAAGTGGTTAAAGCGTTCGCTCGTCACGCCGAAAACCTGGGTTCCATTCCCAAAATGGGTACAATGTGTGAAGCCCATTTCTGGTGTCTCGCTCTGTAATATTACTGGAATATTGCTAAAAGCGGCGTAAACCATACTCACTTAAGGGCCCTACGTAAATACTTCGAGTTATCCGAGGTTCGACACAACCGAAAAATAAATTAATAAAGAAACATTACGGAGGGACCAAGATTCTACAGAGACAATAGATCGATACAACGATGTTTGGGTGGTTGTTTTGACAACCTCCCGTCACTGTTCATCTGACCCAATCGTTCCCATCATCACTGAAGCTGGGATCCCGCTGTGACTGTATACGTAATAGTTAACAAGTACGACCCCGTCAAGCTGAAGAACCGGGTTCGATTTCAAACATGTGTGAAGCCCAATTCTGGTGTCCATCGCCGTGATATTGCTGGAACATTGCTAAAAGCGGCGTAAAACTAAACTCACTCACTCACTCCCTGTTAACTCATTATCTGGCCCGTATTCACATTCAGTAACCATAAATCCCTTTCACCTGATTGCCTGCTTGTTGTAGCACAGGCAAACTGTAGCGCAAATTGGGTTGCGCAACAAAGAGAAAAATGACCAGTCTTTCTATACGCGAAGGAAGCACGTTTTGCTAGCATGTAGGAAGACAGGTCATTTTCTCTTTGCTGCGCAACCCTATTTACGCTACAGTTTGCCTGTGGTTGTACTTTGGGTTTTGTTTTGTTTTTTGTCGTATATACAGTGATTTGCCGAGCGCTTCCTGTAATATATTCCACACAATGACAGAGCAATTCGGCTCACTTGGCCTGAAAGGGTCGTTGTCGGAACAGGTACTACAGATCTGAACCCCAGGTATACAGAAATATACCCGAAACAAAATCAAAATGCCAAAATGTGCCCGGTACCCTAAACGGTGGACGAGTCCATATTCCGCAACCAAAAACCGAAACCGTAATTGTTCCCGTTCAGCTGAGTGCGAGTGGCATAGTGCATCGCGAAATACTCGTTATTGTGCATCTAATACAACAGTATGACAGTTCCGATTATTGCAGAATGGACACGTTCTAGGGCACGTTTCTGTACTCTGATTTTGGCAAGGGTACGTTTCAAAGATCAACAGCATGAGCATCGATCAACGCAATTGGGATACGATGACATGTGTCAACCAAATCAGCGAGCCTGACCACCCGATCCCGTTAGTCGTTTCTTATGACAAGCATGGGTTACTGAAGACCAATCCTAACCAGTGTTCGAAATAGCCACTGGCCCGCTAGCCCGTGGCTGGTAAAAATCTAGTCGGACCAGTAAATATTCTCAGTTACTGTCCTGACTGGCTAGTGAATTTTCCTGGGATCATGTTGTAAATATATTACTCTCTCCGACTTGTTAAGTTATAACACACTTTTACATCATGCAAGATTATAGCCTGATAAAAATGTTCATCATATTATCAGCTTAATGAAAAAACCCGTGTCTACATTCAAATTTCGGGCTAATGAATTATTTTGTAGCGACTTTCAGGCATAGGTGGCCCGACTGGCTAGCAAAATTTGGAAACTATTTCGCACACTGATCCTAACCCGGATCTTCACTTGTCGAACAGGGGACTGCAAAGAAATATATGATATCTATTTCTTTAATTTAAGTATTAACGATTGCATATTCATTGAAAGGTCATTACATTGCCGCTGTTCAAGCTTTTGAATAAATCTGCATCCGCGATGGCACATATGGTACCCATGAATGTTACAACGGCATCTTGAAGATGTGTTCTGCATGTGAGGTGAGGTGAAATTGGGCTTAACGTCGCGCTTGAGAATATTTCGCTCATATGACGACGTGCATGCGTGTTTATGTGTATGTGCGGCTGCTTGTACTAGACCAGACTTAAGCTGGATTTATACTTCTAGCCCACTGAGACACCGTGCCGCAGTGAAGCATGAATACCCCACTCAGACACATTATACTGACTCCGAGCCGACCAGTCCTTGTTGTACCCATTAATGCCGAGCGCCAGGCAGGGACCAACAAGTACCATATTTTAACGTCTTTGGTATGACGCGGTCGGGGATCGAACCCGCGACCTTCCGCTCTCCGGTCGGACGCTCTAACCACTACACCACGGAGGCGGTCTGTTCTGCATGTAATCGTCAATGTCTGTATTCTTCTGTTTGTTTGTTTATTTGTTGTTCAATGTCACACTCACCAATATCCCAGCTACATGACAATTGTCTGTAAACATTCTAATCTTCCAGTGATATCATGTTTGATTCAATGACGTGTCAACCATGTCAACGAGTCTGACCACCCGATCCCGTTAGTCGCCTCTTACGACAAGCATGGGTTGCTGAAGACCAATTCTAACCCGGATCTTCACGAGGAGTTTGCCAGAAAACTACTTCGACTCAGGCAAGTGTACCGTTGCGCACCCTCGCAAACCCCACCCCAACCACTCCCCCCTAACCCCTGGATCCGCCCCTGTATACCGCTGCACATTAGGCATATCCAAGTGGCGTGAACACCCTTAACAGTGTGAAATCCTTTAACGAGTAGCCAGCAAATAAATACGAAAAATCATCAACAAGAGTGGTTTAGCAGACACACTATGTGAAATTATCCTATCGTTATCTCCCGTGCCAGTATTTTTTGCTGTTGAAACACACGCTCCATATACAATAATGCATTCTTCAGCCATTCCCTTCGCCTTGGACAGCTGTTGACAGCTTGTCCGCATGACTTCCGGTTTAAGGATACACATGCTAAACAGCTTCCAGTCATTGCCGTAAACATGCCGTAATCAGCAAACACAGACTCATTTTATTTTTCAGCCCCATGGTTTACTCATGATTCCAATAATGTATTCCAAATATTGGCGCGGAAGAAGAGCGGAAGGTCGCTGGTTCGAACCCCGACCTCGTCACACCATGAAAGGTTTATGGTACTTCTTGTCCTGGTGGCGCCTGGCTTCTAGGGATAAGAAAGTAATGATTGCTGCCCAGGACCAGTCATTTCCCACTCGCAATCGCCAAAATGTGATTCTTAAACAATTTATCAATATGAAATATCGACTTTGCAATGAATGTACAGAGGCTGGCCAACACCTTGTCACCTTGTCAGTGGATGCCCTTCCTTGGCACAAACAGCATATCTTAAAGGGCATGATGGCATGGTTCGTTGCTTCAACTACGGTCTTCGCCATGCCTGTGGCTTTGACTCCGAGGTCCATCCATGGTACGACCCTGAACATGTCCAGGGCGTCATGGAAATGATGCTTTTAAGCTTCTTTGGAATAGGCCCATATTCAGCCTCAGTAGAATTCCAGCCAACAAACCTGATCTTGTCCTTTTTGATAAAGCCAATTAATTTATTTATATCATTGAATTCTCTGTCCCTTTTGACAGCAACGTGACTGGCAAGATTCAGGAAAAGCATGTTAAATATGTGGACTTTGCTTTTAAAATGTTTCGCTTGCATCCCAAGTACACTGTCGTCAGGCTCCCCAATGTTCTCGGTGCCGTTGGTTTGGTACCTTCTGATCTTCTGATCAGGAGAGTAGCCGGGTTCTCCACCGGGAGCACAGCCCTTCTGACACTCTGGGTAATGCAGAAGGCTGCAGTGTTGGGGAGTCTACATATACTCCGGAACGTCTTGCTGGGTTCGACTAGGCAGCGCTTCCTGGGAGAAGTCCCACTAGCTGTCTGGGCTGCGTGAAGAGGGGGCGAGGGCCCTGAGCTGATGATGAGCCATACCAGCCTGACTGTGCAAAGATCACCCGAACCCTCCCTGCTGCATTTTTCATCTTAATCTGTAAACCATGATGATACAGGATTTGTATAGCGCCTGGTTTCAACGGCGCTGATTATTATTACCCCGGATAACCCATGCTGCCTGTGAGGCGCTAGATGGTTAATAGTCACAATGACTTATCCCACCGGGTACCCATTTTCTGTTGGGTGATCAGAGGCAATAAAATCAAGGGCTCGTGCGTTCCAAGTCAGGATACTGTGAGCGCTTTAACGAATAATGGTATATAGGTTGATTCCGACAGTATTAAAAGCATGTCTTTATGGATTTATGAATAGCATGAAATAGTGATGTTACAGCGAACAGTGGGTGAGTTTAGTTTTACGCCGCACTCAGCAATATTCCAGCTATATGTAGGCGGTCTATGAGTAATCGAATCTGGACCAGACAATCCAGTGATCAACAGCATGAGCATTGATCTTCGCACCTTGAATACGATGACATGTGTCAACCAAGTCAGCGAGTCTGACCACCCGATTAGGTTAGTGGCCTCTTGCGACAAACATGGGTTACTGAAGATCAATTCTAACCCGGATCTTCACGGGTTACAGCGAACAGGAAATTGCATCCAACATCATTTTAATCACTGATGTTTTAAATGTAGAAGTGTTTGTCATCAGAGCATGTGACTATTACCATCCAACATTTCATTCTTCTATCAGTGAAATAAATCATTCATTTTATTGAGTTTAATCACACTAAGAGTCCTAAGAGAAAAGACATAACAAGTTTAAATCTTTTATAAAACCATCGTCAAATACAAAGTTTGATATTGCTATGACTGTGATTATACTGGCAAATAAGGATAAGTTGGACCGGCGCAGAGAACGCGTTTACGAGAAGTAGGCCTGCGCGGCAATGAGCAAACCCATTTGGTTTGTGAAAGGTAGAGCAGATGAAGGCCAGTGCACGTGCATTACATGACGATGAAATTGATTCCGCGCAGGTGCACACGCCTTGCTCATAAGACCCTCACGTCGGTGTAGCAAGTCGCACTACACTTGATCACGGACAACCTGGGGCCCCTTCGCTCACAATGGCAAGCGCCAGTGGGCGGCACTCATACATGCGGGTTAATTGTCAGGTCGGTGCTCAACTTATCCTTGTTTGCCAGTAAATTAATCCTGTCCTTTGTACAACGTATCAGTCTTAGGGACAAAGTCTCTGTTACATCCGTCTTTTGTGCAACAGTAGTGGCACTGCAACTCCCCCGAGTAGCCGGTGTTCAAGGGGATACAGTTCTGGTCATCAGAGGTCTGCTCCCACCATAGCTTCTCACAACGAGGCTGCCCAGCGCACCTGTCAGTACCATAACCTTGTTAAACCGGACAGGACGATATAACCAGGATGAATATGTAAATTGAATCAATTAAAATACAGATTTGTTTGTTTGTTGTTTTACGCCGCACTCAGCAATATTCCCGCTATATGGCAGCGGTCTGTAAATAATTGAGTCTGGACTAGACAATCCAGTGATCAACAGCATGAGCATCGATCTACGCATTTGGGATACGATGTCATGTGACCACCCGATCCCGTTACTCGCCTCGAGAAGCATGGGTTGCTGAAGACCAATTCTAACCCGGATATTCGCGAGTCATTTCCATACAGAAGCATGTATCCTATGCGTATAGTTTGGCATGAAATGCATGTGGACCCGGTTTTTGTAAATATCTCTTCATCCAATGACCCAATCGATCTCAAACTGTGCAAGTGGATGTTTTGTCAGACAACCTAATCACATTGTAAATCACCGATTTTATGCATTTGTATTAAAGAATCTGTCTATGTAACTGTCAACAAAATAAACAGCAGAACGCAGACGGCTTGCAGAGGGAGGGAGCCAATGACCTGTAACAGCGGCAGTGTTGGGTCATAAAGGTAAATGCACGTGCAGTTCATGATAGTTACCTGTGCACTGCACAGTGATAGACCGTTTGGATCATTCACATTGACTACTTCTAGCTGTCATCATGAAAGCTTATTCAGATGATGCTAAACGTTTAATTAGAAATGTGTTGAATTTTTTAAAAAGAGAGCAAACGTAGCAAACCGATTTATAAGGTGTCGGATTACATGAAACGTACAACTTTTGCTCTTGGCATGAAAAAGAACATCGTGCTAAAAATTGTGAAAAATAAACCAACAACCAATAAACAAAACCTTGTACAAAAAGGTAGGCATCCAAAGTTAGATTCTTTTGACATCAGGGTCATCAGCATAGCTGACCTACATTGACGAACGTTGACCTTTATGACCCAACACTGCCGCTGTTACAGGTCATTGGCTCCCTCCCTCTGCAAGCCGTCTGCGTTCTGCTGTTTATTTTGTTGACAGTTACATAGACAGATTCTTTAATACAAATGCATAAAATCGGTGATTTACAATGTGATTAGGTTGTCTGACAAAACATCCACTTGCACAGTTTGAGATCGATTGGGTCATTGGATGAAGAGATATTTACAAAAAACGGGTCCACATGCATTTCATGCCAAACTATAGTGATTTCTTGGTGTATTATTGTGTCTTATTACAATCATTAATCTATGTGACCTTCATCACCATTGTGATATTGATGTCCGAAACTTTCTCAGGTTTACATCCATTACATAGCTTCCAGTGGATCATAACGGTTCGTATAACCTATAATGGCAACGTCTAGTGGACAGACCTATAATATCACCATCATTGTAGACCACAGCTAGACCTATAAATCAACGATAGTTTCTCTTAGTGAAATTAGAAATACTTCTTAATTTGTTGGTAGACGTTGATTGTTCCATAAATAACGGTATATTATATTTCTTGTCTGCATTACTCGGAATACGGGAATAATGGACGTGGGATGCTAGCATCAGAGATTCAGCGAATTAAGTTAGCAAACAATTTGGACCATCTTAAATTTTCAGATTTTGTCCCTACGTTTGGAAATATTTTACAGATTTACTTGAGTAATGTTTCGGTTTAATCAACTTTTGGAAAACCATGATTGTTACGGCTACATCGGCACACATGCAAACAATATTGAACCTTGCGTAGTGAATGATAAATGTTCGAGGCGAAAGCTTTGGCTGTGGTCTCTAAGGTGACTGGATAGGCGGGGCAACGAGATGGTGTGTGTGTGGTGTGGTGTGGTGTGGTGTGGTGTGGTGTGGTGTGGTGTGGTGTGGTGTGGTGTGGTGTGGTGTGGTGTGGTGTGTGGTGTGTGTGCGTGCTTGCGCGCGCGTGTGCGTGTGGGGGAATGAGATGTAACGGGGTCTAACCTCGCCTTCAGAATACCCCGCTCAAATAGGGGCGGTGGGGTAGCCTAGTGGTTAAAGCGTTCGCTCGTCACGCCATAGACCCGGGTTTGATTGTAACATAACATGGGTAGTGGTTAAAGCGTTCGCTCGTGCCAAAGGCCGGGTTTGAAGCCCATTTCCGGCGTCCCCCGCTGTGATATTGCTGGAATATTGCTAAAAGCGGCGTAAAACTAAACTCACTCTCGCTCATTTGCCCCACTAGATACATACATACAATGTGAGTGAGTGAGTTTGGCTTTACGCCACTTTTAGCAATATTCCAGCTATATCACGGCGGGGGACACAAAATGGGCTTCACACATTGTACCCATGTTGGGATTCGAACCTCGGTCTTCGGCGTGACGAGCGGACGCTTTAACCACTAGGCTACCCCACCGCCCCTACATACAATGTGGTGGTCAATGTGTGGTGCTTAGTAGCGAGTGTGAGTAAAGAGTTTTAGTCACATCAGAAATATTTCAGACACCTCGTGACTAACACAAAATATACCTTCACATGCTTCATACACTATGATAAACCATGGTGCTGTGTCTGTTGTTTTATCATAAGATAAGTTCCCATTTATTATCACAATTTATGTGATGTGTTGTATAAACTTTGTTAAACACAGGTTATGAAATAATAGTTTAAATAGCCATACAGGAAGGGTGGAAAAAAGGAAAATAAGACTAATTTAATAAAAATGGAATTTGAATAATTTGAAAAAGTGAAATTTGAAAAAATGAAATTTGAAAACCTTACTCTTTCACATATGTCAAATGCCCCTGAGCATCCTTGTTGACTGAGTTCATACAGAACGGTTCCGCCGGAGGGCACTTCATCGTCTTTTCCATTGCGGGGAGGATGCCGCATGGCCCGCCGCTGCAGACGTTGCACACAGCTGAAGTAGACACAGACGTCGTCACAAACACAACAGGTACTTAATCTTTTGTTTGTTGGTAGATTGTGTAACGGAGGTCTCGGTGTCAACCGTCAAATTGGCCATTACTACTCATGCTAACACCATTGCTGACTCAGTAGGAAAAGTGAGTATACTTTTACGCCGCTTTTAGCAATATTCCAGCAATATCACGGCGGGGGACAGCAGAAATGGGCTTCGCACATTGTACCCATATGGGGAATCGAACCCGGGTCTTCTGCGTGACGACTGACTGACTGACTGAGTTTGGTTTTACGCCGCTTTTAGCAATATTCCAGCAACATCACGGCGGGGAACACCAGAAATAGGCTTAACACATTGTACCCATGTGGGGATTCGAACCCGGGTCTTCGGCGTGACGAGCCAACGCTTTAACCATTAGGCTACCCCACCGTCCCCCAGTAGAAAAAGAGGCATTTACTGCGCCAACCGTTCTATGTACGTAATTTGTTGGAAATACGGGTACAAGGACCTGGTCATGTGACCTGGACCCGGATCTACCTGGTACAGCGGTCTGTCTTGTTTGGGGTGGCTCAGATGCACCTGCTGTGGATTGTTCTGTTGCCGTTGTGTATTGGCTGTATGTCGTAACATACGTGTCCGTTGTTGTTTCAGTCAGTTGCTGCATGGTGGTCTGTTGTTCGCGTGTCGTCTGTGCGTAAACAGCTGTAACAAAACAACATTTGTAAGTTTATTACATATTGTACTCGGAGGAAAATGTGCTGACGTTACAAGCCCCAATTTTGTTCAGATTCCAATCGGAGCGGTGGGGTAGCCTTGTGGTTAAAGCGTTCGCTCGTCAAGCCGAAAACCGGTTCGATTCCCACATGGGTACAATGTGTGAAGCCCATTTCTGGTGCCCCGTGATATTGCTGGAATATTGCTAAAAGCGGCGTAAAACTAAAACTCACTCACTCATTATAGAACCTGATACGCTTTGCGATGTCCAAATGTAATGTCTGATCATTACAAAATGACTTTAATGGCAATGTTTTAAGTTTGGCTATTGGGAACTCTGTTTACACGGTCGGGCAAAACAAAACAGATTGCCAAGTGTGGCTTCATGTAGCCTACATACGTACATTGAGTGGTCATGCGCAGTGGCGTATACCGTACTCGTTGTGTCTGTACGTCGTCCATGTAGCACGCCAGCTGGATGTTCCAGGCCACGGCCAGTGCCGTACTGGTGTTCGCCATGTACAGGGTGTTCGTGAACCACACCCTACTTTTACTAACCTGAAATTCAAGAAATAACAGTAAATATTGACTTCAATAAACCGTATTATAAACGGAGAGACAAAAGAAAGTATACCGTGATTTCTTTCCTTTTATAAAATTCCTTTCTTTTTTGTTTACGTAATTGAAACTTTATTTAACTGTTGTGAGACAAGACTCTACATTTGTAGCTATTCAACCAAAGTGAAAAGTAATCTGTAACGGGGTAATCATTTTCTATTAGAGTGAAATGGTTAATGAAGATGTTATTTTAAAACCACATGGCCCTCACTTTGTTTGAAATGTTAGAATTTTGTGCCGAAAACGAAAACAAATAATGGTTTTCAAAAGTATCGTATCTAAGATACGGCAGTTAGGTATAACGCGATTTACTTTTGTTTTTAATATCTAAAAGTTTTGAATCATAATGTATTTTACTGACCAGAAACATGCAGAAGTCTGGATACGACCGACTTAGAGATGAGATCGCAATGCGGAACAGACCCAACGCCCATGAAGGGATCTCAGCGCAGTGATTAACGTCAGTGTTAGGTCACAAGGGGTTGGGGCAGTCTTAGCTTTAAGACAGCTCTACGGACCAATATCTTTAGCCCATTTCCACAAAGCGATCGTTGCTCTCAAGCTTCACCACTGACTTGAGATCGTCGTGGCGTTACGATTGCTTTGAATAACAGAATGCAGTGGTACAAAGCGATCTTAGCGCGAAGGTGATCGTAACTCCCATATTTTAATATAGATTTACGACAGTCTAAGCGCTAAGGTGATCGTAACTCCGATACCTTAACATACATTTACGGCAGTCTTAGAGCTAAGGTGATCGTTACTCCCATACCTTAACATAGACTTACGACAGTCTTAGGGCTAAGGTGGGCGTAGCTCCCATGCCTTAACATAGACTTACGACAGTCTTAGCGCTAAGGTGGGCGTAGCTCCCATACCTAACATAGACTTACGTCAATCTTAGGGCTAAGGAGATCGTAGCTCCCATACCTTAACATAGACTTACGGCAGTCTTAGGGCTAAGGTGATCGTAACTCCCATACTTTAACATAGACTTACGGCAGTCTTAGGGCTAAGGTGATCGTAGCTCCCATACCTTAACATAGACTTACGACAGTCTTAGGGCTAAGGTGATCGTAGCTCCCATACCTTAACATAGACTTACGACGGTCTTAGGGCTAAGGTGATCGTAGCTCCCATACCTTAACATAGACTTACGACGGTCTTAGGGCTAAGGTGATCGTAGCTCCCATACCTTAACATAGACTTACGACAGTCTTAGGGCTAAGGTGATCGTAGCTCCCATACCTTAACATAGACTTACGACAGTCTTAGGGCTAAGGTGATCGTAGCTCCCATACCTAACATAGACTTACGACAGTCTTAGGGCTAAGGTGATCGTAGCTCCCATACCTAACATAGACTTACGACAGTCTTAGAGCTAAGGTGGTCGTAGCTCCCATACCTAACATAGACTTAACATAGACGACAGTCTTAGGGCTAAGGTGATCGTAGCTCCCATACCTAACATAGACTTACGGCAGTCTTAGGGCTAAGGTGATCGTAGCTCCCATACCTAACATAGACTTACGACAGTCTTAGAGCTAAGGTGATCGTAGCTCCCATACCTAACATAGACTTACGACAGTCTTAGGGCTAAGGTGATCGTAGCTCCCATACCTAACATAGACTTACGACAGTCTTAGGGCTAAGGTGATCGTAGCTCCCATACCTAACATAGACTTACGACAGTCTTAGGGCTAAGGTGATCGTAGCTCCCATACCTAACATAGACTTACGACAGTCTTAGGGCTAAGGTGATCGTAGCTCCCATACCTTAACATAGACTTACGACAGTCTTAGGGCTAAGGTGATCGTAGCTCCCATACCTTAACATAGACTTACGACAGTCTTAGGAGCTAAGGTGATCGTAGCTCCCATACCTAACATAGACTTACGACAGTCTTAGGGCTAAGGTGATCGTAGCTCCCATACCTTAACATAGACTTACGACAGTCTTAGGGCTAAGGTGATCGTAGCTCCCATACCTTAACATAGACTTACGACAGTCTTAGGGCTAAGGTGATCGTAACTCCCATACCTTAACATAGACTTACGACAGTTTTAGGGCTAAGGTGATCGTAACTCCCATACCTTAACATAGACTTACGACAGTTTTAGGGCTAAGGTGATCGTATGTCCCATACCTTAATTATAGAATTACGAAAGTCTTCGCGATGACTTACGGCAGTCAAGGTGATCGTAACTCCAATGTCTTAACATAGATTTACGACAGTCATAGCGCTAACGTTGTTTTGTACAAAGGTACCGTGGATACTGATCTTCACTCAAAGATAAAGTGGACTGACCGAGATATCCGTGCTGCACGCTCCATACGGGTGTCTGAATACTAGGTCGTGACCTTCCTTTCTGCCTTTGCATTTTTCTGTCCCCAGGGAAACGTCATCAGCAGTGGATGACGTCACCCCGTAACCAAATGACGTGGTGTCCAGCCGGATGTACCATCCATTAGTTTGGCATGCGTAGACCAAGTTAGTGTTGGTAGGAACTGCAAATAACATTATTTTAAAGTTTATTAAAAAGATGACAGTATTTTCCCTTCCTCAGCCCTTTGTGGATTGTGAGTCAGAAGAACTGCAAAAAGATTATTTAAAATATAAGTTTTTAAAAGATGGCAGTGTTTTCCCGTTCCTTAACCATTTGGGGTTTGCGTGTCAGAAAAGCAGCTATCTCCAATTCCTATCGTAAGACCCCGAGGGAATTTCGAGTTAGAATTCTAGCATTCTACGAAACGGCTCAGTGGATCTGGTGGTGACATGACTGGTTGATATGGTGTCCGACGGCATAGTTCGATGCTCACTATATCAATCACTGGATTGTTTGGTCCAGACTCGATGATTTTTATGCCGTCAAAATGAACAGCTGGATTAATACTGAACTCCTCTGAGGTACATACAAACAAACGAGCCTTGTTACGTAAAGCAGAGAAAGCTTCATGTTGAATCATCGCTTATTTACAGTCCGTTTGATTTCATTTGAGACCAGGGCGGTGGGGTAGCCTAGTGGTAAAAGCGTTTGCTCGACACGCCGAAGACCCGGGTTCGATTCCCCACATGGGTACAATGTGTGAAGCCCATTTCTGGTGTCTCCTGCCGTGATATTGCTGGAATATTGCTAAAAGCGGCGTAAAACCATACTCACTCACTTAATTATTATGAATTGCTCACTTACACAAAATCTAATAAATCAACAAGCGTGAAATCGACAGAAATTAATAAGTTGTTTAACAAACGACCGTTCTTGTCATTTTTCGCTTTTTCTTACACCTAGAACAGCCAGGTAATCAACAAGCGTGTGTAGTGAAATTTCAATTTCGTGTGTCCACCTGGCACGCGTCGATTACATGTGACTGTGCAAAATTTGGTTTTGTTGCATTTATTAGATTTTGTGTTAGTGATCAATTCATTGGTCTCAAATGAAATCAAACTGACTATAGCTGAAGAAATATTTTAATATGTTCAGAACTGAGGTTGGTGTTTAGTAACGGTTAATAATACTTCGCAACAAAATTTTAAAACCCTCCAGAATGGGTGACCATGTCGGGTGTCACGTGTCATACCCCGACTGCGTCTGCCGTTAATAGAGTTATTGGTAGTTTATTTGGTACAGTATATGCCGTGTAGAACTTGGGTTAAAATTCGTCCATGGCAGAGGCGACTAGAAGAATCGAGTGGTAAGGCTCGATGACTTGGTTGACGTCACGGACTGATGCTCATTATATTGATCACTGTCCATACAGTTTATCATCCTACCGGAATATAGCAGCGTTGTATAACAAACAATGTTACCGGAGTGTGTTTAGTTTTACGCCGCTTTTAGCAATATTCCAGCAATATCACTGCGGGGAAAGAAATGGGCTTCACACAATAGACAATATAAAGCTTGACAGTTGGTATTTGATACTTAAAAACAAAACTTTGCTCATTTATCCCTTTTTAAGGTAAATTAGACGCAATTCATGGAACTTCTTTGATAAACCTTTATAGCAACTTCGGTGAAACGGTATCGACCAAAACGTCATTATAGTACATGAAAGAGGTTGCATCCACCAAATGCGTCTTTGGCGTTTTTTCATCCGTAAACAAACATTTGCAAGGCATTTGAAATTTTACTTACCTGAACTTGAAAACGGAAGAAATGCGATGGATAAACCAATATACAAAATACTGCCCCTGTACGCCATGTTTATATCACCATGCATCTACAAGGATCTATTGTTGTTAACACATACCCAACTGATATCATGCAGTGACCTATTACTCGTGAAGATAATACTTGGTTTGACCTTTTTTATCAGTCTGACCTTAAAATGCTTTATTATCGAAGACGACACTACTCTTCACTTAAGGTGATTGTATAGTCTGGCGTTCTGCGAGATGCTGGTGAGTGAGTGAGTGAGTGAGTATGGTTTTACGCCGCTTTTAGCAATATTCCAGCAATATCACGGCGGGGGACACCAGAAATGGGCTTCACACATTGCACCCATGTGGGGAATCGAACCCGGGTCTTCAGCATGTCGAGCGGACGCTTTAACATTTGGGCTACCCCACCGCCCCAGATGCTGGTGAACAGAATATGATTTTTAGGCTGTGGGATGGGTGTGGGTAAATGAGTGTTGTTTTATGCCGCGTTTAGCAGGACTTCAGTGACATCAGTGAAACATCAGAGCCAAGAGTCAGTTATTGATTTAGGTGTTTAAATTGTTGGCGCCCATGACCAATGTGTTTGTTTGTTTGTCGTTTGTTGTTTGTAGTTTAACACCACCCTCAGCAATATTCCAGCTATATGACGGCGAACTGAAAATAATCGACTCTGAGCCAGACAATCCAGTGATCAACAGTGAGTTTAGTTTTATGCCGCTTTTAGCCATATTCCAGCAATACTACGGCGGGGAACACCAGCAATGGGCTTCACACATTGCACCCATGCTGGGAATCGAACCCGGGTCTTCGGCGCGACGAGCGAACGCTATAACCACAATGCTACCCCACCGCCCCAGTGATCAACAGCATGAGCATCCATCTACGGAATTGGGATACGATGACGTGTCAGCCAAGTCAGCGAGCCTGGTCACCCGATCCCGTTAGTTGTTTCTTACGACAAGCATGGGTTGCTGAAGACCAATTCTGTCCCGATCTTCACGGGTATGCTCAACATCAGAGACCCCAAAGTGGGTAATGTTGTATCAATTTACTTAAGAGATCGTTTGTACGAAGCACCAATAGAAATTCCAGCTAAATCAAGCCAGGGGACACTATAAATATTCATGACGGGAATCGATCCCAGACCTCCGGCGAGAAGAGCAAACGCACGAACCACTAGCCTAACATATCACCACATGTAGACGATTAGTCATTGTCCTTTACCCTAATCGTAACATACATCTTATATCACAAGGTGACACTCACCTTCAGGTACTGACCATATCAACAGGGTGTTATTTGTGTCAGTCTCGCAATCGGCCTCACGACACACTCCTTCCTGTTTGATACTTCTATCAGTGAAGGTGACGGTGTTCACTTTGGTTGGTGTACATAGATCCTACATATTCCTTAAATGTCCTTTATTGTTGTTCTTCACTTGTAAACAGAACATGATCATTCTTAGACTGGCAGCAATTGGTTTCGTGCTCTCCAGATGCTATGTCGGTAAGTGGTTTAGACTACTCATTTTAATAAGTGGTCATCGTATATCAAGATTGATTCTGATTTTTGTGATTTTATTTATTAGATTATATTGTGACATGGTTTGATGCCTTGTATTCATATGTTACCATGTGACCCTTTGACATACTTTTAAAATGTTCGACTCCTGGCTATAGAAATGTGTACTGGGTTACATTTAATGTCCAGTTTTTACCACTTCAGAATCCTGGAAATTTATGATCCGTCATTATCATGTACTGGGGAAACACCTGTATTCAATGGTAGTCTTCTTTTCTCAAAATAGACACTAGTTTATTGCCTTATGTCCCACCTATTCACGCAGTGTCACTGCCCACGTTTTTATCCTTGACAGTGCCCAATAACAATTGACAGGCGACACCATTCTTGTCGAGTACAGGGGCAGTAGGGTAGCCTAGTGGTTAAAGCGTTCGCTCGTCAAGCCGGAGACCGGAGTTCGATTCCCGACATGGGTACAATATCTGTCCCCATTTCTGGTGTTCCCTCACCGTGATATTGCTGGAATATTGCTAAAATCGGCTTAAAACTAAACTCACTCTTGTCGTGTATAAGGTACTTGACATGGGGATAGGTTGTCCTGGATCTCTGACCTAAATCGGCTCATCGGTTATGACCGTCTCCTCGTCACATATGTCTTTGCTCATGCTTTCTTCCAATATTGATTCAGCGTTAGACAATACTCCCTCAATCTCTCATTTCCAGTAGCTAAGATCAGTTTAAGTTATCTACCAAATTAATTGCTATTTTGTGAACTTTCTGTTACCTTGACCTGCATAATGTTAATCACATATCCCCAGATTCAGCGTCCGGATCCAGTGTAGGGACTGACTTTACTATGGCGTTCTTCCCCTACGCCTCCCAGAACGTCACTTCCCCATCAGCAGCCACATCCACATCGCCTCGACTAAGTCCGGCTACTGCAACATCGAATATGCCGCTGATCCATTTACAAGGTCAGTCAGGTATGTGAAGGTCAAGGGTCAACAGACAACGAAGGTCGCCATTCCAGTTTCTGCACGAGTATCGCTTGGGGCCGACAGGGAATTCAGTGCAATCCGGATTTCTTGCTCAGTTCCGGTGTCTGCGTACGCATCCTATAGTTCTTCCGGTTTTTTGTCAAGCGCCATGTTGGTTCTTCCCATATCAAGCCTATCCACGGCGTATTACGTCCCTGGGTTTCCTGGCAACGGTTTTGTTGGAATAATCGCAACGTCTGATGACACCAAGGTTCATATTAAATTGCAATCCATCACGGGGTTCATGTATGGGAACGTAGCGAAAGTTTCAGGGGATTACATTGATGAGACTCTTTCAGAAAACGAGGTTCTGTACCTATATTCATCGTTAAGCGATTTCGGAGGAACCACCGTCAATTCAAACCAACCAGTCGCCGTGTTCTCTGGATCCAATCAAATCAAAGATGGCGGTTACGTTTTGAGCGACGAATTCAGCTCCGTACAAGCACTTCCTTTGCATATGTGGGGAACAGACTTCATCGTCAAGGAACCAGTCAGATCAACCTACACCAGACGATTTACCAGGATCCTGGCAGCAACGAATTTAACAATCGTAAATAAGATAAGCAGAGGATTCACGCAAGCTGTTTTCACAGGCCTTGGTCCAGGGAAGTATATAGAAGACGAGCTGAATTCAACCGACAAGACGGTCTATTTTAGCTCCAGCCCTATATCTGTGACCGTTATAGCGTATGGCCCGAACGGAGCTTCGTACATCCCTGTTCCGTGTCTAACGCTCTACCAGACAGACGCGCTTGTCCCGAAGTTTGACACCACACATGCGGACGTATTTGTTACGACGGAAACGAAAAAATTGGGAGGCATGCAGATAAATAGCAACAATTCTGTAGTTCCAAAATGGGCCAACTTGTCATCCGAGGTCTTGCCATACTCTGTTACCGTAATGCCACTGTCGATGACGTCATCGATGCATCTCCAGCAGACATCTAAGAACGGGGACTTCTCGGCGCAGGTTTTCGGTTTCACAGCTAACAAAAGGGAGTTCGAGGTCAATGTTGGGTATGGGGTCTACACCTCATCTCCGGGCCTACCAGGTAAGTGTGAGACGCGTATCAGAGAGAGGCTGACGGTGTTAGAAGAAATTTAGAAATTTAGAAGAAATTTTACCGTTTTTCGTGAACAAATTTTCATAAAACCATTTCGTTGATTTGAACACATTTGCAGTTACATCATGACTGTTTTCAGAGCTGACCATTACGTTAATATACTAATGATAACTTGCTTACAATAAATACATATAGATGACGTCATAGTAGTATATTGTTCATGAAGTCAAAGGAGAATGAATACACTCGGAATAGCAGATATAGTATCCTCCGTGAAACTGCTACAGAACACGGCTTTGTTCTACGAAAGGAGGAAAACATTTTCATTTCACAACAAAAATGTTTTACAGCTGAGGATATCCAATATTTCAAACGTTCAAGGTATTACCCTGGACAAAGTCAATATACAGTTGTCGGTTCCTCCCAAATCTAACTTTACAATTCACTCCGGACAGATATGTTCTTTGTACCTCGCTCGTATTGTAGTTATTTTCTAAGTAAGTACATTTTGATATAAAGGTATCGAATACAATCGAGTTCATCTGGCCTGTGACCGTGACAGATGGGAGATAACTCTCAATGCTACAGCATTCAGTGGCAGCCAGGCGTACAGTGCTATTTTCAGCAACGTGACGCTGGGTGGAGCTCCGTCCTGCACTGGGGTTCTGCAAGGTGACCGCTTGGTACTCAACGCTTCTCTTCGGGACTGCCATACTAAAACAGAGGTGATCTTTAATATCGTGTTGTAGATAGGGATTACAGACCAGCATTTCCAACATTCAGGAAACTTTGGATGGATAGGTCCCAGATAATACCATTATCAGGGAAATCCGATATAAGTCGATTTCATAGCTATACAAGATCTGGAGGATATCTCATTCGTCATAATCACGTTTTGCGACCCAATCACCTGATTGACATGAAGTCGACATTAGTCAAATCGAAAGCAATTTTCTGAAGCTTTACGGCAGAAATTTCAAACTCTTGATTTCCAGACGACGTAGTATGACACATTTTTCAATTCGTCTGAAAAAAAAGAGTGAGTGGGTACAGTTTTCGTATAGTTTAGCAATATTCCAGCAATATCGCAGCAGGGCTTCACACATTGTACCCATGTGGGGAATCGAACCCGGGTCTTCAGCGTGACGAGTGAACGCTTTAACCACTAGGCTACCCCACCGTCCCCACAATAAATATACAAGGTGAGTACAATGGGGTGAGTGAGTTAAGATTTTGAGTGATATCGGCAGTATTTCAGCCATATCGTGACTAAAACAAGTTATAGATTCATAAGGGGCGGTGGGGTAGCCGAGTGTTTAAAGCGTAGGCGCGTCACGCCGAAGACCCGGGTTCGATTCCCCACAATGTGTGAAGCCCATTTCTGGTGTCCCCCGCCGTGATATTGCTGGAATATTGCTAAAAGCGGCGTAAAACTAAACTCAGTCAGTCAGTATAGATTCATAATACATTAACGTAGGTGAACAAGAATACCCAGTCATAGGGCCTGTTCGATTATTGCGAAACTGGTTTTGCTTTTTGAAACTGGTTTCACCTGTTATAAACGAGTGTCTAGTTTCGGGTACATGGTTTCAAAGTGAAACTAGTTTCTAGTTTTATAAACGAGTGGATGGTTTCACCATCCGGTTTCAAAATGGATACCAAAAAATGTCTCAGCTACTGTATATGTTGAACGAATTGGATGACAGCATGTGTTTTTCATTTTATCAGTGATCGTAACTCCCATGCCTTAACACAGACGAGGAACTGTCCGAGCACTAAGGAGATCGTAACTCCCATGCCTTAACACAGACATACGACTGTCTTGGCGCTAAGGAGATCGTAACTCCCATGCCTTAACACATACGTACGATTGTCTGAGCACTAATGTGATCGTAATTCCCATGCCTTAGCAGAGACGTACAACTGTCCGAGCACTAAGGAGATCGTAACTCCCATGCCTTAACACATACGACTGCTTTAACGTAACTAACCCATGCCTTACGTACGATTGTCTCAGCACTAAGGTGATCGTAATTTCCATGCCTTAACACAGACGTACAACTGTCCGAGCACTAAGGCGATCGTAACTCCCATGCCTTAACGTAGACGTACGACTGTCTTAGCTCTAATGTGATCGTAACTTCCATGCCTTAACATAGACATACGACTGCCTTAGCTCTAATGTGATCGTAACTCCCATGCCTTAACATAGACATACGACTGTTTTAGCTCTAATGTGATCGTAACTCCCATGCCTTAACACATAGACGCACGACTGTCTCTCCCATGCCTTAACATAGACGCACGACTGCCTTAGCTTTAATGTGATCGTAACTCCCATGCCTTAACATAGACGCACGACTGTCTTAGCTTTAATGTGATCGTAACTCCCATGCCTTAACATAGACACTACGACTGCCTTAGCTCTAATGTGATCGTAACTCCCATGCCTTAACATAGACGCACGACTGCCTTAGCTCTAATGTGATCGTAACTTCCATGCCTTAACATAGACATACGACTGTCTTAGCTCTTGGGTTGTTTTGTACAAGGGCACCCTGGTAAGCGACAATCTGGTTGGACGGATAAAGTTGTTTTGTGACGCGTTCCGTACTGGGATGTCACTTACTCACCCCAGATGATTCTACATTGCAGACCGTCGAGGGTCAGACCATGTACAAGAACACATTGACGTTTAATCAGGGCTGGCACTATAACGTCATCTGTTCCCTTACAACCACAAACATGTCTGCCACACAACCCCAGGTCGCCAACGTCATCGACGTTCGTCAAGGCAACATCCCCACCGTTGTTCAGATGAAGTTGTTCAGCGACTACTACTTCCAACACGAGATTCTAGGCGACTTGAAGATAGTGGGTGGAAGAACGGTGTACCTGGAAGTGTCCATACCGTCGGACATGGGTCTGAGCATCGTGGTCGAGGACTGTTACACATTTGACCGCCCTGACTCGACCATACCGTTGAGGCACTTGATCAGAAATAGGTGAGAGTGGACGTTTTGTACAGTGATAATTTACTCTTCTATTCAATACCAGTGAAGATCAGGGTTAGAATTTTTTATTGTGTGTGTGTGTGTGTGTGTGTGTGTGTGTGTGTGTGTGTTCTGCTAAATTGGTTGAGACATGTCATCGCATCGCATCTCAATTGCGTTAATCACAGGTTTGTCTGGTCCGGACACGATTATTTACAGACCACCGCCATATAGCTGGAATGATACTGAGTCCGGGGTTGAACAACAAACAAACAAATAAACATATACGCAAACAGTTTGAAAACGAATTACGGATGTTGACTATGTCGAGGTGTAATACCGTCCGGATTCAAATCCAGACATAATTATTGTAATGATGTCTTCAGAGCTCAGTGCCGCAACCATTTTTTTCGTTTCTATCAATTCGCTGTAAAAATTAAAGTTTTCATGTTGAGGCAGGATATGTACTGGTGTGTTGAGGAGCGTGTGAACGTGGGAAATTGAATCCAGGTCTTCGGCGAGACGAGCGAACGCTTTATCCACTGTACTAACTTGTCGCTTTTCCAGTGCCCCTGCTTGACTTGGCTTTGCTTTGCTTTGCTGTGCTTTGCTGTGCTGTGCTGTTGCTGTGCTGTGCTGTGCTGTGCTGTGCTGTGCTGTGCTGTGCTGTGCTGTCCGTTAGATTTTGATTAAGGGGTATTCACCGTTTTACTGTTTTTCAGATGCGTCAACGACAGGTCAGTAGGTATCCTGTCCACCAGTGCCTACGGGCGACGGTTCAGTTTCGCTGCCTCCAGCACCACCATGGAGTACGTCAGCTGTGACGTACGATTCTGCAAGACAAATGACCTCAGTGAACTTTGTCAGCCGAAGTGTCAGTTTTACATGGGGGGCCCGGGCATTGGCAGATAAACAGGACTGGTGAATTCTTTGATTGGCATTCTAGTGAAGGTCATTGGTGCAGTGGAGGTCAGGTATTCGGAGGTTCAGGCGGGAATTGTTGTAAACGACTTGTTGGGACAATACGACTTAGTTCCTATATTTATCAGGAGCAAATATTTATAAGGTTTCAAGGTACTGGAAGATGTGCTCATTCTGGAAACGTATAGTCCTCATATATACGGGGATTGCTAGCATGTAAAAGAGACTTGAAGCAAAGTAAAACGCCTTCTGGTACACATATTAAAAAACAATTTACATTTTCCTTTTTAAATCCTTTTTAAATCGAAAAGGCATGCCCAAATACATAGATGTATTTAGCATGAATAAAAACAAATCTTTTGAAAACTTTACGAAGACTTTAAGCGATATATTTCAGATAGAGAAATCAATTCCACTCAAAACAATACAGCATACAGATACATAGAAAACGGGGAAAAGTGACAAATGACCTGTCCATTAGCACATGAACAATTCTCAGTACCGTGGGATAGAAATCTAACGTCATATTTAGTTTCGTAAGAGTCTTATGGCGGATGTTTGTAGTTTTACGCCGGACTCAGCAATAGTCCAGCTATATGGTGGCGTCTGTAAATAATCGAGTCTGGACCAGACAATCCAGTGATCAACATCATGGGTATCGATCTACGCAATTGTGAAACTTGACGGGCGTGGCCTGTTCGTGTCCTATTGATATGATATTGATATTGATATACCGAGGATATTGTGCTATGTGTTGTGGACCCGTGCAGATCCGGGGTAGAATAGGTCTTCAGTAACCCATGCTTGCCACAAAAGGCGACTATGATTGTCATAAGAGACGACTTACGGGATCGGGTGGTCAGGCTCGCTGACTTGGGTGACACATGTCATCGGTTCCCAATTGCACAGAGCGATGCTCATGCTGTTGATCACTGGATTGTCTGGTCCAGACTCGATTATTTACAGACCGCCGCCATATAGCTGGAATATTGTTGAGTCAGGCGTAAAACTAAACTCACTCACTCTATTGTGTTGTGTGGGTATGTATAGACTATAATCCACACCTATACTTATACGATTACATGTGATGGTACTTTGTGTGAAATTATTTTTGATCATCTACTGAAAAAAATAAAGTTTGGGAAACTGTTGAAATGTTGTTTTGAAAAGTATGGACATCGTTCACAACCAATTTGGAATATTTGACTCGTAAGAAAGCAAAGTCCCCTCTTAGCCACCAAACTTTTGTTTCCACCTCTACATATTGTGCGTTATATAACGGGCACTGCACTAACTTATTCCTGTTTCACACACATTTGGTTAACTTGGGATGAAGTTGTACATACCAAAAAATGTAATAACCTTGCCTGACTCAGGTCAGGGGCGGTGGGGTAGCCTAGTGGTTAAAGCGTTGGCTCGTCACGCCCAAGACCCGGGTTCGAATCCCTACATGGGTACAATGAGTGAAGCCCATTTCTGGTGTCCCCTGCCGTGATATTGCTGGAATATTGCTAAAAGCGGCGTAAAACCAAACTCAGTCAGTCAGTCAGTCAGTCAGTCTCAGGTCAACAATTAAAAGAAATTATTCAATCTGTGGTCTATATTGTACATATTTTACAGACGCTTCGGTTGATTGTGTATCCGCGAAATACCAGTTCCAGTTCATGGTGTAGAACGCCAGTTTTGTTTGTTTTTAACGCCGCACAACAATATAATATTCCAGCTATGACAAAGGTTTCAAAATATTCAAGTCTTGTTTATACCGGAACTAACTCAACCCCTCCGGCCTTCCATTCCGGGACAAAATAAACATATATATCCCTGCTACACTGAGGCTAGGGGCGGTGGGTAGCCTAGTGGTTAAAGCGTTCGCTCGTCACGCCAAAGGCCCGGGTTCGATTTCCCACATAGGTACAATGTGTGAAGCCCAATTCTTGTGTACCCCGCCGTGATATTGCTGGATTATTAGTGGTGAGTGAGTGAGTGAGTTTAGTTTTACGCCGTTTTATTGATAGCCAAAACTCAATAATAATTCTACACTAACCCATTACCACTTTGTGTGAAGATCCGACTACACCAATAGGAGATAACAAGAGGTCAAGCTTCTAATCAGCTAATTAGCATTTAAGTAAACTGATGAGGTCAGAAAGGACTTAGGCATGCATATCTGGTTTCTGTATTTTGAAAATGAATATAATCAAAGATCTTAATGCAAAAAGGTCAGCAATATTCCAGCTATATGGCGGCGGTCTGTAAATAATCGAGTCTGGACCAGATAATCCTGGATTATTGGTAAAAGCGGCGTAAAACCAAACTCAGTCAGTACACTGGACCTAACTCAAGCCCTAACCCTGTTACAATGGAACTTACTCAGCCTCTATGTCCATATCATACTGGAACTAACTGTGAAATGCTCATCAAACTAACCCTTAATTATAACCAGAGACAATGTCCATATTCACCCCAGGTATTAATTATATCGTCTAGCCTTGTATCAAAGATGGGAAGGCCCGGAGCGAAGTACTGTCTGCACTGTGGCTATTGTCAAAGCTGTTTGTAGAAGCACTTGCGGGCAAATGTTTGGGTTTTTCATTATTAAACGGACTTTGGATTCAATCATTCAAAACCGTCGTAATTATTACCATATTTTGTTTCAACCTATGGGGAGTCGAACCGTACAGCTGGAATCACAATCAGTACTGGAACGCCGTGAAATATCCGGAAACACAACTCATTCAAACACTCAATCTTGTATTGGAATAAATTTGTGGTGTTACCCGTGATTTCTGAATTGGTTAAGAATATTGCTGATCATGATATAAAATACGCTGCGGAATTTAATCTGAAAAGCACATGTTTCTCAGGTGTCGTACGCCACCTGGAAAAAAACGAAACATTCAGAAAAACTGACAATCGCACACTTTTTATAATCCCGAACTTTCAATGTTCATTTATACAATACATATACAATGCATACAGTATTTAATAGGGCTGCGCGGTTTACCGGTATTTACCGGTTCAGACATGAAAACGATACCGATACGCTGATCGAAAACCGGTATTTTGACATGCATTCGGAAAAACTTCGTAACCTCGGAAATCCGGCCGTTTTGAATTGTTCTATCCCTGTTTCATTAGTGCCAAATGTTACTTACATTTTTATTTTGTCATGATTAAAAGTTTTTATAAACGGTTAATCAATCACAGTGATTTTGTTGTTTTGCTTATAATCAAGCATTAACTGATTATAAGTAGTTTTTTTAAAAAATAATCCGGCAATACATATCGCAATATATGTTTCCGCATCGCAATATATCGCAATATGAAAATTCTCTGCAATACATATACCATCCCTATTATTTAACAATATATATAGCCGGGGGTACGCTTAACCTGCTCAGTGGCAACATAATCAGCTAGGGAAACTAGACATTCTAATGTATCCACATACTGACATTTTATCACAAAGGAATCGGCACAGTTCCATTTCAACGCCCAAGGGTGATAAGAAAGGCATGATACTTCATGGATAACAACGTCCCTACTGTGTTACGATGCTACATTTCGGTAATGATTCTTATACCGTCGTCAAGCACGAGATAAAGGAGTTGTTATCCATATAGTACTATACCTTTCTTATACCGTCGTCAAGCACGAGATAAAGGAGTTGTTATCCATATAGTACTATACCTTTCTTATACCGTCGTCAAGCACGAGATAAAGGAGTTGTTATCCATATAGTACTATACCTTTCTTATACCGTCGTCAAGCACGAGATAAAGGAGTTGTTATCCATATAGTACTATACCTTTCTTATACCGTCGTCAAGCACGAGATAAAGGAGTTGTTATCCATATAGTACTATACCTTTCTTATACCGTCGTCAAGCACGAGATAAAGGAGTTGTTATCCATATAGTACTATACCTTTCTTATACCGTCGTCAAGCACGAGATAAAGGAGTTGTTATCCATATAGTACTATACCTTTCTTATACCGTCGTCAAGCACGAGATAAAGGAGTTGTTATCCATATAGTACTATACCTTTCTTATACCGTCGTCAAGCACGAGATAAAGGAGTTGTTATCCATATAGTACTATACCTTTCTTATACCGTCGTCAAGCACGAGATAAAGGAGTTGTTATCCATATAGTACTATACCTTTCTTATACCGTCGTCGCTAACGAGGATAAAGGAGTTGTTATCCATATAGTACTATACCTTTCTTTGTACCGTCGTCAAGCACGAGATAAAGGAGTTGTTATCCATATAGTACTATACCTTTCTTATACCGTCGTCAAGCACGAGATAAAGGAGTTGTTATCCATATAGTACTATACCTTTCTTATACCGTCGTCAAGCACGAGATAAAGGAGTTGTTATCCATATAGTACTTTACCTTTCTTATCATTCATCAAATTCTAAAATGTAAATCAAACATCCCAAGGGCGATGTTGATATTCTGTGTTGAAAGCGTAGAGAGAGCGCCCAGAGGCCAGATGGAGTAAATGAGTATGGTTTTACGCCGCTTTTAGCAATATTCTAGCAACATCACGGCGGGGGACACCAGAAGTGAGCTTCCCACATTGTACCCATGTGGGGAATCGAACCCGGGTCTTCTGCGTGACGACCGAGTGCTTCACCACTAGGCTGCTCCACCGCCCCGAGCAGATGGAAGTGGACAGTTTAGATGATATCGTATTACTATGGAATCCTCGAAGGGACATTGTCGCGTTTCGCCCATTTTTGAGCTTTTTTCACACATCTTAGATGGGGCGACAATGCGACAACGCGACATATTTTGACCTTGAAAATTGTCGCTATGTCGCATTGTCGCCCTTTGGAGGAATAGAAAAATATTATTCAAAACGCGACATCGCGACAATGCGACAAATGGCCGAAATGTCGCGTTGTCGCATTGTCGCGCTTTGGTTAATTTTGCCTCTTTTTGTTTGTTTTTGAGAGGGCGACAACGCGACAATGTCCCTTCTCGGATTCCATATATTAAATATGTTGAGTTTAATGTGTTCATCAAAATAGCAAATAAACTCATTATATCTTAAACTAAATGGAATTCAATTTTAAAACAAGATATGAAGTTAGTTTGAGTAACAGTCAGTTCCAGTACTAGGATAAACGTTGACTTAACTTATACAAACTAAACAACAGGTTACAGTTTCCAAGATAACATTTGGTTGTCAATGTTTTACATTACAATCAGCAACATTTAGTTCTGAATAATCGATGTGGACAGGGTTGATTCCATTTCAAAGTCTTAATTAATTTAATGTCATGTTTCGGTGCAAGTGCTGGTATCATTATCACTTGCCCGACTATGGCACCTGTAACCAAACACAGCATTGACAGAGTAAATCATTTGAAATCCACGTCAACCTATCCTCATTAATGTTACAATCATATATGCCACTTAAAAGTTATTGGTATGCGGTGTTATATATACAATATTCTTTCACTCACCCAACAACTCGCTCACTAAAGATACTGTAAAATATCGAGCCTTCTTCTGTTTCCTAAAATCTAACGGGCTGATTTTCGATGCAATTTGCTCCAGTACCACAGAAGAAACGATGGACTGACAATGAAAGTGAACTATGAATTCACTTTAGAAGTAAATCTCCGGTATCATTCCCATGCGTGCTAAATATTCAAATCTTAATCCGTTTTAGCTGACTTTATGTTTTATCCAATAATGGGTAAACCATGCAGTGTATATTCACGTTCTTAATGCATCCAGTCTGTCAACAGTTAAAACGGAATCTGTTTGTCGTGCCTGAGCTAAATACCTACTCGTATGTATTCACCGTTAAACGCCCGGCACTTAAACCCAGTACTAAACAGACACGTCACCGTTGAAGAAATCCGATTATTTAATGGCCCGGTAAGCAATTTTAGATTTAGAAAAAAGGTATAAAAATGGGAATGAGAAGCAAACGGTCATCACAATCACAGAGTGGTTCGATCAGTTTCAACAATGAAGGTTGCTCTCGTGTTCCTCGCTGTCCTTGCTTGTGCCGTGGCTCGTGAGTATAGCAAGGGAGATAACTCTGCCGTGTCTAGTCTCTGTAGGCTTGAAACGGCATCCGCCATATGAGATGAAGTTCTTAGGGAATTTTCTGTAAATCTGAAAAGTACATCTAACCAGGCTAGTTTGATTTTATAAGCATAAATTTAATACTAAATATTTTATTCAATATTGTATTTAAAATTAGAATTTGAAACACTACTGATTCTCCTACTTCTTATTGTTTTCGTTAACAGTTAATGCGAACCGACTGAACGGGAATCGGGTGGTCACAATTATTTCAATGAATGGACGAAATTTGGAAGATGATATTCCATTGGAGCACACCAGCTCTTCGTTATGAGCTTAGATTTTGAGTTTCAACTTATGAAAACCTCAAGTTCACTAAAGTTCCTTTTCAAATTATACCTTAGTATTCGCCTCAGTAAGATGATGCTCTGGGGCATATGTCTCTATTCAGAACACAAGTCCACTTGTGCGTCCACCACGATTTATTCTGGTGGTTACAAGGGGTGGTTCTCAACTCTCAGATTCAGCCCGGACTGCCCCGCACTGCTGGTTCACAATTATATATACGTTCAAACAATTAACATAGATGACATTCCTGGCCTGTATCCGGCTTTCCTCATTCCATATTTGGGGAGGTTACCTACGGTCAGTTCGTATCTTATGGGTTGTCTTCCCCATCGGCTGCTTGACCGATGGGGTGAGTCATGTCGCTAATTCGTGTTCCCTAACATGAGTGGACCGTTCTGTGACTCTTGCCTCTGATATAACTCTAGGTCTGGTTTTGCCACTATTATACTGCAATGTACGACTCACTCACTCACTGCCTTGTACTCCAGACCGTGAAGATCCGGGGTAGAATAGGTCTTCAGCAACCCATGGTTGCCACAAAAGGCGACTATGCTTGTCGTAAGAGGCGACTAACGGGATCGGGTGGTCAGGCTCGCTGACTTGGTTGTCACATGTCATCGGTTCCCAATTGCGCAGATCGATGCTCATGTTGTTGATCACTGGATTGTGTGGTCCAGACTCGATTATTTACAGACCGCCGCCATATAGCTGGGATATTGCTGAGTGCGGCGTAAAACTAAACTCACTCACTCCCTGCCTTGTACTCCAGAGACCACCATCGAGTGTCGTGAAGGCTGGGAGGCTGGCGACAACTCCTGCTACAAGGTCATGAAGCTAAAGGTCCACTGGATAGAGGCCTGGGTATGTCCAATGAAATGTTGTTGAGTTTTCTGTGTTTTTAATACAAATGTGATTGAAGAGTCTCATTAACAATGTCACAATCATACGATTGCCTTTGTCCAGACTCCACTATTTACATCATAAGGCTGGAATATTGCGGCGTTAAGCAAATTACCCCAAGGCCAAATGTAGAGATAGCATCAAAACTCAGGTAATATGATACACCCGACCTTATCATCCACACTGCATATCTTGTCCATGTCGGACACCAGTGTCTGTCGCCCTCCATTAGACCAGGGTTAATATTCAGGCACTTGGTCAGGGCCTGAGTTAACGTTTCTGAATAGGGGGGACACCATCCACGTTAAAAGAGTGTTTTTCACCAAAAATAATCTGTACAAAAAATTCCCCCACCCCAAGCAGTGAGGTAAACCTTGTTTGTGTTAATAACCTGATACACAGAAGACTTTCTGAATGCTTGGAGGTGTCATTATAATTACTGGATAACACTTTTTCTGCTGAGAGATCCTAAAAGACATGTAGGGACTTTTATAACATTTGGCCTGGGACTAAACTACCAGTTCCACGAATTCCCAGTCGTATCAAGCGTTTACAATTCGAGGGTATCTATAATACCTCCATATTTTATCTACAGACCTACTGTACCGCCATGAGGTCTTCCCTGGTTGAGATCGAAAGTCAGGAGGAGCAGGATCGTATTGCCGATATCCTCAAGACCAAGTACAGTGGTAAGAGCTGCTGTCCTCGTAGGGCTCAAAGGGGACATTGAGAACTTTAGTACATCTGTTTGGTACTATATAAACTACGGTTATAACGAACTGACGGATATAACGAACAGTTATTTTTCCTGTCTACTTGCTATATTTTAGTCGAAATGCGTATCACGAATTACGGTTATAACGAACTAAGATTACTGGTCTCGTTTCAACCGTAGTAGCCTGAACAAAATGGTCAATATTGTCCAATTAAAGTATTTGCTTTTCACGCAACAGATCCGAGTTTGATTCCCTGCCTTGGAAACAAATTGGACAAACCCGTTCTAGACATATTCCTTTGAGATATGACCTTAATGTAATTGAAAGAGTCTTAGCATCAATTCACCATTATCACTCACTCACTCCCTTGTTCTACAGGGGACGGTGGGGTAGCCTGGTGGTTAAAGCGTTCGCTCGTCACGCCGAAGACCCGGGTTCGAATCCCCACATGGGTACATTGTGTGAAGCTCATTTCTGGTGTCCCCCGCCGTGATATTGCTGGAATATTGCTAAAAGCGGCGTAAAACCAAACTCACTCACTCACTCTTGTTCTACAGACTACTACGAGCAGTTCTGGATCGGCCTCAGCGATATGGATACCGAGGGTCAATGGCAGAACATGCGCTTCAAGCAGAACGCCACCTACCTGAACTGGATCCCTGGACAACCCAACAACGACAACGGCCGCGGCGAGAACTGCGCCCACATCAACGCCAAGCCTGCCAGAGGCTACAAGTGGAACGACCACTCCTGCAACGCCGAGCTCAACTTCATCTGCGAGGCCTTGTAAGTGTAACGTCTTGTACTTCGTTTTATTTTCTACACCAAGAGGCACCGTTGGTCCTGTCGTGGAAATCGATGGAATTCCTTTGCAATGTTACCTCCCTTTGACGTGCCAGGACCCACTGATGATGGGTTCGAATCCCAGAATTCCCTGATCATTTTCCTTGCTTTGGTAACACCATACCCATGGTCAGGGATTTCACTAAAGTAGTAAACGCTTAAGATCTCCATCAATAGTGTTTTCTTGATGATCTCTTAGTCTCTAAATATATGTGGATTAAGATGGAAGCGAAAACATACTTGAAAATGAGCCCCAGAGAATCAGGAAAATTTAGACTTGTTTCAATTAAGTCTCTAGCAGTACAGTAAGGGCTGAAAATAATATAGTTCGAATACAATGGGTTTTCTCCAATAATGAACCCGATACGTAACTAAATTATTATTCAGTTTAAAGCTGTGTTGAATCAAATGGTTTCCTCATATCACAGAGGCCGACATCTATAAAATCACCCTCCCCTCCCTTTCAAATCAAAACCACTCGGACCTCTATCGAACGCCATAGTCAGGGCGGATCTAAGATTCAAACAGGATAAAACAGACATATTATACAGCCTCTCGTGTTTTTTCAGCCCTCTGGTCTAAGCAGCCACGGTGACGTTATTGGAGGGCGACGACAGAAGGGGCAATTGCGATCATCTTAGCCTCAAGCAACAGCTGACAACCGCGCTTGACAATAACATTGTATTTATCTCAATAAAATATATATTTACACAGCTGCTTGTTTGTATTTGCATGGGGCGGTGGGTGAGGCTAGTGGTTAAAGCATTGGCAGGTTCGATTCTCCACATGGGTACAACGTGTGAAGCCCATCTCTGGTGTCTCCCGCAGTGATATTGCTGGAATATTGCTAAAATCGCTATCGTGGGACATCATTACTTCTAAACTGTTGTCTGGTCTGGATTTACACATGGCCGCCATAGCTGGGGTCGTACTGGCCTCGTCACGCCGAAGGCCTGGTTCGATCCGTTTATTTGGTGTTTACTTCATTGTTACATATCTGAACGTTCAGTCTATGAAGCATTCAACCTTGCTCTGTTGCCAAACACCATGGTGTGTACATAGACTAATCTCTCACTTGATGCCCACATCAACCATCTACGTAAAGTCTGCCATCGCCACCTCAGAATCATTACCTCAATCCGCCGATATATCACCACAGACTGTGCCCATGCCTTAGTTAGATCTCTTGTGCTTTCTAGAATTGACTATTGCAACAGCCTCCACGCTGTATTGAACTCTATGCAAGTACAGAAACTCCAAACAATTCAAAACACTGCTGCCCGTATTGTATGCCTGAAATCTAAGAGAGATCACATCACTCCTACATTGGCTCCCTGTTAAGTATCCTGTGAACTTCAAAATCCTGTGCTTGTATATAAATGTCTCCACAGTCAAGCTCCAGAGTATCTGCCTGAACTTCTCACACTGTACACCCCTGCAAGATGTCTTAAGGGGCCCTTCACACTTATTTCGAATTGACAGGAATCAAGGAGAATCAGCCAGAAAAAAATATTTCCAAAATTCGAACCGCATTCGGGAGAGAATGTCAAAATAAACAATTTTTTCAAGCTTTGTAAGAATGCTGTTGGAATACTTAGAACGCACTTCGAACCCGCCTCGAATGATTCTTACTCATTCCAAATGTACTAGATCACGAATGCAGCTCGAATGAATCGGAATACAGTAGGAATAATTGGAATGCCGTTAGAATACACTAAGAATACTTAAAATGAATTTCGACTGCCGTGTGAGTCCGGTTCGATTGCTGCGTGAATAGCACTCGAATTTCAGTTACCTCGAATGCTGTACGAATTTACATAGAATGCATTCAGAACCCTCTTGGAATGACCCCCGAATATGGATCGAATGTTAAAGAATTAAAACAGAATGCAGCTCGAATATTTCAAATGTGATTCAAATGCACTTAGAATGTAACACGAATGTCCGAAATGCATCAAGAATGCTGCCGGAATGTTCCACGATGGGGTATAAAAACCTGTGGAATCTGGACTATTCATCAGTCACGGCCCAGCTCCCATAGAGCATGGACCACCTGGACCATGTTGCGTTGCTTCAGATTGCTGTCCTCAGCAAGCCCTGATTGAAAGAGATTTGGAGGAGACCAGGAGAAGAAACAGGAGGAGGCCCAGGAGATTCCAGACCAGACCATGGCTGACAGAGGAAAGGAGGAGGCTGTATGGACATTACACAAGACTGATGGAGGAGCTCAGAGTTGAGGACACGCAGTCATTCTTCAAAAACCTTAGGATGGAGCCTGCCATGTTTGATGAGTTGGTGCAGAAAGTGGGACCAAGAATACAGAAGCAGGATACATATATGAGAAAGTAGCTACCTCCAGGCTTGAAGTTAACCATCACATTGAGGTTCCTGACTTAGGTGATAGGTACCCCAGCATCATGTACAGCTTCCGCGTGGCAAGGAACACAATCAGCCTGATCATCCCAGAAGTATGTAAGGTCGTTGTGGAGGAATGCAAGGATGAGGTTATCATCTGCCCCACAACTCCAGAAGAATCACTGCACCTAAGGTGATGCTGGTAACGCACGTTACCAGCATCCCAGCATTGCGGCAGGAAAGATCGCTTGGCGATTATTCCCCCCGAATTAGCAGCCTTCCACGTGTATACAATCAACATTATTCAGCACACTGATCAACTTTGATGGTGGAAATACATTGAATGTACTGAATTTTCTTATTAATGTCTATGTGTTGAAGAATAAGCATTTTTAAAATCGGGCGAGAATGTCGGTAACTCAAAGTCTGGATGTCGGTAACGTGCAATGAATGATGCTGGTAACGCATACTGTCCTGCTTTAGTTGGTAAACAGAAATTGTCGAGTTATGTTTAATTACAAAGAAGATACAAATATCAGTTGTTATGTTTTACACAGATGTGTACTGCTGCTACATTATCAGTGTGAGCGACGTTTTCTGTGCGCCGGAGAGTTGTTGCTTGCCTTGAAGCAGGGTGTGTTTAATCACACTATTTATGTGGCGTTTCATTGAACTTAAACGGATTTAGATGTGTGTGCCCATTGTCCATTACGCTGAAAGCTTTTTCTCTGTCCCTCCTCACCCCAAGATGACGAGCGTATGCCATGCTTTATTCTGGGAGATGATGCCTCTGGAATAAGAGCCTTCTTGATGAAACCGTCTGGTCATAGGACTCTCCAGAGAGACGAGAGAATCTACAACTACAGGATCAGCAGGGGCCGACGGGTAGTGGAAAATGCATTTGGAAACATGGCTCATAGTTGGCAAATCCTCCTCACCACCATGCTGCCAAGGTCTTCCGTTGTGAAGGACATCACTGAATGCTGGGTATGCCTGCACAATTTGATGACTCGTTATCCTAATTTCCACAATGGTATGATGGATGAGCAGCACAATGTGGTGCCAGGAGTCGGGAGACAACTTGCGCAGCTTGAAGATGTGAATGATATCTGAAGTTTCAGTGACAGGTGGCTACGTTTTTATGCGATTTGGCGGTGTTCTGATGACGTCCTGACGCATTTAAAGAGCATTCGGGACGTTCTGACTGTATTCGAGGTGTATTCGATGCACATTCGAGCTATATTCCAAGTGCAATCGAAACAGTCCGATACTTTTGAAGAATATTCCACCTAAATTCCACCAGCAATCGAAACACATTCGGGACATTCTTGCAGGATTTGAAGTAGCTTGCCTTTTCGATTCGCCCTCAATACGTTCAGAATACTTAGAATGCAGTTCGAATTTCCAGGAATTTTCATTCCGACGGCATTCTGCCTCAAGTGTGAAGGGGTATAAGATCCCAGAATCAGCACTTATTTACAGTCCCTAAAGTCAGACTTGTCTCCTATGGTCAGAGGACCTTTGCCTACACTGCAGCATTGCTTTGGAATTCACTGCCAGCTGATGTCAAATGTGCCGAATCACTGAACTCTTTCAAGTCCCTTCTAAAAACCCATTACTTCTCCATAGCTTTCTCTTAGATCTTTCCTTCATTTTTAACTCCAACTATTTGTAGTGTCATGTATACATTGTACATAGATTTACCCTGTTTGTAGCGCCTTGAGTGGGCATAGAATACACGGAATCTGGCGCAGTTATAAATACCCACTGTTATTATTAAAATGTACGTCTCTCTCTCTGATGGATATATCCAAGTCACATTTGCCATTTCAGCACACTAGAATGTTACTTGTAGTACAACTAACAAAATTCAACGTACTATCTATCGCAAAGTAAAGACTGTTCTTAACCCCAAGTTTTGGCAAGGAAGTTATAGCATTCATTCACAAAGGACATAATTTGTAATTCCAAGTCTCTATAGGTTATTTTACATTAATATAACTCAATGGCATTTTAATGGAGAAAATTAAAGAAAAAAACCTCTTACGAAATTCGAAAATACAGAACATCTTCACTAAAGGCAGCCTATTGTTCTAATCAGTATGTCACCAATTTGAGACATTTTGACAATACATGATGACATATCATATTTTGTAAACAAAGCACTGTCACATCACATGTGGCTTAAAGTGAACTGCTAAATGCACGTGAAATTATCAAAATGTTTTACCACACCTTCATTCAACACTCTTTGGCAAGAGTGAGTGAGTGAGTATGGTTTTACCCACTATTATGGTTTTACCCACATGGGGAATCGAACCTGGGTCTTCAGCGTGAGGAGCGAACCCTTTAACCACTTGGCTACCCCACTGCCCCTTAGACTGTAATCATCAGTCAATGTTTGTTTGGTATTCTACAAGTTGGTGAGTCAGTTATGAAACATACAACTTTATGAACAACTTCTTGTTTATAGCAAAAAGAGACCTTTTGGTTTAGATTCTTACACCATTACCAAGCTAAAGTGACATTTCAGTGTGGATTCTTACACTGTTATCAAGCTAAAAGTTTGATAATGGTGCAAGAATATACACGAAACAATCCTGATAACGTTGTAAGAATCTAATCCCAAACATCACCAGAAATGGGCTTCACACATTGTACCCATGAGGGGATTCCAACCCGGTGCTGGGCGTGACGAGCCAACGCTTTAACCACTAGGCTACCCCACCGTCCCTCAATAAACAAGAAAGTCGAATGGTTCCTTATGGACTCACCAGTTACAGAAAACAAAGCCATCTTATAAGGGAATAAGCATTTATTGAAGAAGAAATCTTGTCATACCAGCTCTGTTAATAAAGCTTGAACACGTAACGGCCACTGACACAGGGAGGACAGGACACGTCCATCAACGCTACAGTTACTTGGTAATAGCAATCAGTAGTGTTACAGTAAAATGGTACATCGATTAAATATGAATTCAACAAATGTTTAACATGTAAAATTCATGAATTAACAAGACGTGTAAAAGTGGAAACAAAAATGAAATGTCTACCATTGCACCTAAAACATTCACAACCACCTCTTTCGAGTCTTTTCATAAAAACCTCCGCCTCCATTCATGTCTTCAGTGTCCGTATCTACGTACATTAAGCGATGCTAGGATAAGATAGCAGATCTTGGCAGTGTCAAGAAATCCACATCAATATTAGTTGACAAATAATTGACGAGTGAAATCGGCGTAGTCGTAAGTATCGGGTATTGTTCTGCCCGTCTTGTCGACATAAGGCTTCATGCGGGCCACACAGTAATCTGCCTGCTCCTTTGTAAGGTTCTGAAAACCAAAGAAAAACATTCATTATAATTTGGTAAGGTTAGGTGAAATGGAAGTGAACATTCTGTTGCAAGATTATAAATGGGAATGATTTGTTTCTTTGTTGTATAAAGCCACATCCAGCAATATTCCAGGAATATTCCAGCTATCTAGCTGCAGTCTGCAAATAATCAAGTCTGGATGAGACAATCCAGTGATCAACAGCATGACCATCCATCTACCCAGGGGATACGAAGGTGTGTCATCCAAGTCAGTGAGCATGACCACCCGGTCCCGTTTGTCGCCTCTTAGGAGTTGCCGCTTAGGACAAGCATGGATCGCTGAAGAGTGAGTGAGTGGGTATGGTTCTACGCCGCTTTTAGCAATATTCCAGCAATATCACGGCGGGGGACACCAGAAATGGGTTTCACACATTGTACCCATATGGGGAATTGAACTCAGGTCTTCGGCATGACGCTTTAACCATTAAGCTACCCCACCGCCCCGGGTTGCTGACCACCTATTCAATGAGACCTGTAATACTGTGTTTAGGACAGGAAATCAAGTGGTTCATATCATGAATCCCAAGGTTTTAACCTAGTCACTGAACCTGACTATCCAATCCAATCACATACATCAGGGGCTGTTCAACAAAGATCTCATAGCACTAAGGTGATGACCTTATGACCAGTGAGCAAAATAGTTTCAAAATTTTGCTTGCCAGTCGGGCTAGCTATGCCTGAAAGTTACTGGCACACAAAATAATTCACTAGCCCGAATTTTGAATATAGAAACTAAGCAAAAGATTACACAAAAGTAAGCTGCTAATATGATGAATATTTTAATCATGCCATAATCTTGCATGATTTAAAAGTGCAATATAACTTAACAAGTCGGAGAGAGTGATTTATTTACAAAATGACCCCATGGTAACTCACCAGCCAGTCGTGACAGTGATTGTGCAGATTTACTGGCCTGACTGGATTTTTACTAGCCACAGGCTAGCAGGCCAGTGGCTATTTTGGACACTGCTTACAACTCTCCTTGTGTTACAATTGGTATGTTGAACAAGGCCCTGGGTACTTGTTTTGAGATATCATCTGTCAAATATTCACAAGAAGGGAATTGCAGTTTACTTACGGCATACAGTTCCTGTGCAGTGATATAAGGCTTTTCGCCAGAGGTGAGAGCTCGGAAAGCTTGTTCAACCTCCGAGCTGGACTGGACGTTTTCTGTCTCTCGACTGATCATGAATGCCATGTACTCTTGTAAGGACACATGGCCATCCCTGGAACACAGAACGCAGGAATAACATACAACAGAACATCTGATTAGTGTACAAAAGCACTTCTGCTCATTGTACAAAAGTGAGTGGGTGAGTTTTGGTTTTATGCCGCTTTTAGCAATATTCCAGCAATATTATGGCAAGGGGACACCAGAAATAGGCTTTTACACATTGCAGGGGACACCAGAAATGGGGTTTGTACAAAAGAAACATCAAATATCCAAAATTTCAGTCAACCTTCACACATTGTACCCATCATGAGGAATGGTGGTGCGGTGGGGTGGTAATATTTAAAATTATGCTCACAAATTATAGGAAAAGGGAGGGGGGGTCATTGATTTTGTACATACATTTTATATTTTCTTTGGGTCACTTACTTTGTACATAAATTTTAGGGCGTGGCTTCTCAATAAAAATCATCATCACCCCTCTTAGCCATAAATTATGAACGGTCCCTAAGTGATGATGGTCTCAGCTGTGAACTTACACAATTACGGTACTGACAAACCTACAAACATAATTTGGGCAAACCAGAATTAGAACCCACAATCATAGTATCCTGGTATGCCCAAGGGATGCAACTCTGCACAGCAAACTGCAGCACCATAGATGACGTGGCCACCCGTGCACCCAGTACCTCAAGTTCACAGTCGGTTAATGTGGAAGTATATATAACTGTTTGGATCGATGACGTCCAGAAACCCTGCCCCTCAAATTCACAAAGATGCTGTGGTAGGTTAAAGTATACATACCTGTTTGGATCAACGATGTCCAGAATAGCCTGGAACTCTGGGTCGATCTGTCCTTCTTCCACCATGGGCAGGTCATAGCCCAGAGCTCGGAGACACGACTTGAACTCCTGGTGGTCCAACTTGCCGCTCTTATCCTTGTCGAAATGTCTGAAACAAAGCCGGCAATTGTTAACATACCATAGAGTGAGTAAGGTTTTATCCCACTTTTAAGAATATTCTAGAAATACCACTACAGGATGCCAGAAATAGGCTTCAGATAATTTAATCATGTAAGGAATCGAACCCGGGTCTTCGGAGTGATGGGCAAATGCTTTTACCACTAAACTACATCATTGCCCTCAACATACCACAGATACGTAACTATCAGAATTACTGACTTTGATCTGTGATGCATGAATCTGTGTCAGTCTAAGTAAAGTTAGGCTCTTAGGCTCATTATTAGTAAAGTTAGGCTCAGTATTATTCGTTACACTGCTTCTACTAGGGTTTGTTAGACTCAGTATAAGGAGTGTAATGAATAATACTGAGCCTAAGTTTACTTAGACTGGAGTCTGTCTGTGTGACACAGACCCACCTCTCCATATCATATCATGTTCAAGATGTACATAAATTGTACTGAATTAGCAATGAATTCGCAAGGAGTTTTAGCAATTACACACCTCTGTTCTAGTCAACATACCATTGTACACAATGGAATACTACATTCAAAACAAGCACTGAAATGTTATGAACATCATAACTTTGACATCTATCACAGCAACAAGGTAAGCAGGTACTCACTTGAACATCATGCTGAATTCTCTCAGGGCATCTTCTGACACACCACTGCGGTTTCTAGAAAAAGAGGAAACAGTTGACTTATTTTACTACAATAAACCAATATTTCCATGATATCTGAGCAATCTGACATGGCTTTGAGTAGTAGTAAAAATTTAGTTGAAAACAGAAGTATATATTAACACCTATTGCCAAAACTAATGCTTTCAAAATTTAATTTGTTCGCTGTTGTAAGACTGAAGTATTGTTATAAGACTGAAGTATTCCAGCCATATGAGAGCTGCTGGTAAATAACTGGGGTCTTGACCAGATAGTCCAGTGATTGGTATTGTGAAGAATGGGGTATGAGGAGGGCAAGCTAAGGACCTAGCCACCGAGTTTGGACACCCAATCCAGTATGCCTCTTATGACCAGAGCAGGCTTTGGACCTGTTCTAGGATCTGAGTGAGTGAGTGAGTTTGGTTTTTACGCCGCTTTTAACAATATTCCAGCAATATCACGGCGGGGGACACCAGAAATGGGCTTAACACATTGTACCCATGTGGGGAATCGAACCCGGGTCTTCGGCGTGACGAGCGAACGCTTTAACCACTAGGCTACCCCACCGCCCCTCTAGGATCTGAAGGTAGACAGGATGAGTGTGGTGGTAGTTACCTGGCCTCGATCTGCTGTTCCAGGTTGTGCTGCATCCTCATACACAGCTGATCCAGCTGATCCCACTGCTGAGCCAGGCCCACTGTGCTGTGCTCCGTGTACCTGGACAAAACAAATAACTGCTCTGATGTACCCATGTCTCTGTGTTATATATATATATATATAATCATACAGTTGATTGTCATCCACCTATCACATCATACAGCTGGTTGATTGTCATCCACCTATCATCATATCAGCCGGATGTCATATCACATCATACAGCATCCACATTGTCATCCATACCAGTCACATCATACAGCTGGTTGTCATCCACCAGTCACATCATACAGCTGGGTTGTCATCCACCAGTCACATCATACACCTGTCACATCATGGTTGTCATCCACCTGTCACATCATACAGCTGGTTGTCATCCACCTGTCACATCATACAGCTGGTTGTCATGCACCTGTCACATCATACAGCCTGGTTGTCATCCACCAGTCACATCATACAGCTGGTTGTCATCCACCAGTCACATCATACAGCTGGTTGTCATCCACCATGTCACATCATACACCACATCATGTCACATCATACAGCTGGTTGTCATCCACCTGTCACATCATACAGCTGGTTGTCATCCACCTGTCACATCATACAGCCTGGTTGTCATCCACCATGTCACATCATACAGCTGGTTGTCATCCACCAGTCACATCATACAGCTGGTTGTCATCCACCTGTCACATCATACAGCTGGTTGTCATCCACCAGTCACATCATACAGCCGGTTGTCATCCACCTGTAATCAACCTTTCACATCACACACCGTACCTGTTGTCCAGAATGAGCCTCTCCTCCATGGCTGCACCCAGGTCCTCGATCTTCTTCAGTTGACCCTTCTGTGCCCGTACATCCTGAGCCTTTCGCTGCAGGGACAGAACAAGGCACTCAGTCAAACCATCAAATACTATTCTTCAGTCTGCATCTTCACTACAGAGTCTAGTAACACTCAAGTAAGCTCATACAATAAAAGTACAGAAAGAATATCGGAATCATAACGCGGAATGTCAAATTCAAGTGGAATGGAAGGCAATACCTTGGTGGCTTCCAGCTGTTCTTCAAGGGTCCCAGAACCCTCCATCATGGCAGCTCTGAAACAGGGAGACAGTCCATTACACTTCTCATAAATCCTCTGCTCAAATCCAAACACAGCTATAAACTATTAGTGTCAAGTTATAAAGACGTTTCTTGTTTAACATCACTCTCAAGAACACTTTAGATATTTGCGTTTCCTATAAACAATCCTGATAGGTTGCTGGGAAACAACATGATAATCTAGAATTTGTACAAGGATTTGAATGTGTTGCAAAACAAAGGATGTCTTGCACAAGTATTGGGTGGTAATGCTGGAAATAGAAGCTTAATGTTCAATGTGTTGTATACTCCCCAGGGTGTTGAGAACAAAAATCGAGAGCACACTGATCCATTGTCAAGGGTAATAATGATGTTGTGCCATGAGCATTCACTCGAGTTGGTACAATATTTATGGACATATTTCTGTTATTATTAATATAATTATTTGTGATCAGCTCAACATCAAGGGCACCAATAACATTCTTTGTGAATTCAACATATCACACTGCACACATTGTCACACTCTCATGCAATGTTACGAGTTAAATGAACCTGTTATTGCATGGAGCACTACATCTGAATCTTGTTTATACACGCTGACAAAACTGGCTGGTTATGTTAAATTGTCAATGAAAAACACAACAGAGAGGATGGATGGAAATGAGGAATCGGGATTGAAATGGTTAGTGACAAAAATTGGGATGAGACACGGTCTCATGGTTACCATGGTTATAAATTCATGTAAGATTTTTCATGTGCGATTTATCAGCTGATAGGATGAGTCACACTCATGCACTTAGAAAACAGCAATAATGTTAAGTTTGTGAAGCTGAATGGCTATATTACTGTACTGCAAATCAAAGTGCTTAGCACACACTTTTTAAAAATGCCAAATCTTTGGAACAATCATATTTACTTTTAAAGGTGGGGTTTTATTTACTATAAAACTTAAAAGGCTTTCAGAAATCTTTTCTTCAGTCACTCATTTGCTTCTCTATGTTGAACGACACACTCAGCAATATTCCAGCTTTGTAAATAATCGAGTCTGGGTCAGACAATCCAGTGACTGAAATCATGGGATTAATCTATGCAACTGGGATGCGATGACATAGAGTCAGACCATCCAATCCTATTAGTCGCCTCTTACGACAAGCATGGGTTACTGAAGATCAATTATACCCCAGATCTTCATAGGTTAGTCTCTGAGCTACAAAACTTGACCATTAACAAGATGCTGCACTACTTGCAAAATTGCGGGTGACTTGATCAGCCAGTTATTGTATGCAAGACCTATCAACTAGAGACAACATCTGTAACATGCTTAGAAATATAATAATAACCCATCGAGAAGCCACAGTCTAATTTAGAAGTTGACCAGGGCAAAATCAGGATTTCATAGAAAAGAAAGAAATTACATTAACAAAATAAAAGCGAGAAATAAACCTAGTTAACTGAATTTACTTGAAATTATTTCATACACGTGTATGGGAATATAAAAAGAACAATATCACAACAGAATAACAATTCACTTTAAAAACCAACACTAACATACAAAATATACACAAATGTTTATTTAAAAATACTAAGCTGTATTCTTTTGAATTTCAAATGTATGTTAACGTCAGTGACATCCAATTATGAGCTTTGTTGTCTAGATAGACATAGTTTCAAATACTAGATGACAACAATGTCACAACAACTCTATCATTGTGGAACAGAAACTGAGAACAGAGAGCCCAGGAATACCTGGCCTTGCTCCTATTGATCCCGGCCCCCCTCCCTGTTGACAAAGCACACCCTCCCTCCTGAATCCCCCCTGGTAAACCTGCCGTTACTGACCTGGTCTCCGTCAGCCAGGAGTGGAAGGTGTTGGCAGCAGCAGCAAACTGTTTCCGTAGTTGATCGTTCTCCTCCTGTCTCTGCTCCTCCCGAGCCAGCTCGCTGTCTCTCTCCTGCAAACATGGACGTGTTTTTGTTTAATCGTGATAACTTATGTGGGCATCCTTTGAAAGATGGTGGTCTGTTTTGGAGAAGTTTGGTTGGGTGCGGCGTTGGCGTGGCATGGCGTGGCGTGGAGTGCTGTAATTGTGATAACTTTTGTGGGCATCTTTCCATAGATGGTGGTTTGATTTGGTGTAGTTTGGTTAGGTGTGGTGTCGTGCAGTGTTTGGTGTTGTTGTGTTGCACAGTGTTTGGTGGTGTGTTGTGCGGTGTGGTGCAGTATTACACAGTGTCTGGTGCTGCGTGTGGTTTGGTGTACTGTGGCACAGTATGCATCAGTGCAATGTCGTGTGAAGTGGAGTCTCATAGTGCAGTCTTCTGTATTGCATCACATGTTCATACAACAGGAACAGGATCATAAATCCTTTCAAATAAACATTTCTGTCATGACTTACGGTATCAGCAGATTATCTCCCCTTCCCAACGCCTATCAGCTTGTAGCTCACCTTAATGATCTTCTGCAGGTTTTTCCATGTCTCGTCAAGGGCCTCCATGGTAAACCAGGTGTAGGGGTTGGGTCCCACATTGAAGCTCTTGATCTGTTTGTCTAGGGCCGCCAGAGCATTGAAGTCAGCCTGGGCAGCACTCAGTGAGGACTTGAACTGGTCATGAGCCTCTCGCAGTGCCTAGCAACAAACACAGGGAACAGTCAGAGTGAGTGAGTAAATATTACTTAACGCCGCATCAGCAGTGCCTAGCAACAAACACAGGGAACAGTCAGAGTGAGTGAGTAAATATTGCTTAACGCCGCATCAGCAGTTTGCTCTTTTTGTGAGGAGAGCACGGTCAGACAAATCCAATAAACATTCAACACCATATCTTGTGGAGGGAGTTTGTTTTCGCTCGTTTATGTAAACGAAAAACAATCATTAGACAATTTTTTTAAAATGATAAAAAGTGAGAATGGTTTTACTCCACTTTGGGCAATATTCCAGAAATATCACAGCTTTAAACACCTCAAATGGGATTCACACATTGTATTTATATGTGAAATTGAACCTGGGTCTTTGGTGTAAAGAGCAACTACTTTAACCACTAGGCTTCCCCATCCCCCCAGTATGAAAGAAAGAAGATGATTTACTATAGTCCCCTGAAACTGAAATCAGTGATATTCACTTAGTGTCAAACTAACAATATAACTGAATATATATATATAAAAAAATTCAAATTCTAACATTTAAAGATAACCCACAGGTGATAATATGACATCATTTACGCCCAACAAACTGTTTAAAGGTTGCCATCAAACAGAACACCGTTCTAAACTTACTCTGATTTCCTCGACTGAGTTACATCTAACAGGATCAGTGAGATCCTCCTCAGCGTTTTCGAACCAGCTGTTGAATGCCGAGGCCTTCTTGGCGAAAGTCAGGTACAGATCTTCAATCTGGCGATACTGATCCTGGAGATGGAGAAGGCGCTGCTTACGAGCATCCGAGTCTGCCAGCAGCTTCTGCCATCTGGTGGACAAAATCAGTAGTGTCAGAAAGGGAGGTCACACATAAACGCCAACTAATAAAAGTATTTTCTGCTATTTAGTTGACAAATTCAGTAGTCAGAAGAGGAGGTTCAACTGACTTTGGTGCTGAAAAACCTATAAATATAACTGGGGTGAACCACGATTCTTTGGTTTCTGTTGAGCTCAAGGGACACAACTCTGCATTGCTAATTGATTAAAGATGTTTCATGTAAAGTGAAACCTTTTTAGTCTGCACACTGTTCTAGGCCATTACTGTATTTACATAGCTAGTTCAAGGGACAGCAGCATTTCGCTGTGTAGTGAGTGAGTGAGTGAGTGAGTGAGTGAGTGAGTGAGTGAGTTTAGTTTTACGCCACTTTCAGCAATATTTCACAGTAATATCACGGCAGGGGACACCAGAAATGGGCTTCACACACTGTACCCATTGTACCTGGGTCCACAGCGTGACAAGCGAATGCTTTAACCACTAGGCTACCCCACCGCCCTGTGTCGCTGTAGAGGAATATTGACTAGTTTAAGCATGATGAATACCTGGCAATCACATCATTGTAGCGTGCCTCAATGGCTGGTGTCTGGGCATGTTTAGCGGAGATCAGTTGATCCTTCAGAGCTGTGATGGTCTGGATTCCTTCCTTCTCAAATGCTTGCAGGCCAGCATCGAAAGTTTCCTGCTTTGTGAGAAGGGTCTGAACAGACGATAGGTCACGCCCGTAGTCCTCGGATCTTACTTGAGTCTCTTTGTCAGCTAGAACAGAAGGGAAATCTTACTGAGAGGCTGAATTCCATGGCCTGAAGTGCAGGACAGATTATGTTTTTGTTTGTTTTATGCCACTCTCAGCAGTATTCTAACTAAATGCCAGAAGTCTGTACATAATTAAGTCTGGACCAGACAATCCAGTGATTAACATCATGAGCATCAATCTACGCAAGTGGGATACGATGACCTGTCAACCAAGTCAGCTTGCTTGACCACCCGTTCTGATGGTAAACCCTCGAGTTATTAGATCTTCTACATATCTGTGGTCTTGACTGGCATTTCTGAGGCAACAGCTCAGCTATGTGACAATATCTTGTAGCCTGACCACCCAATCCCTTTCGTTGCCTCTTTCGACAAGTATGGGTTGATGAAGACCACCTCTAACCTGTATCTTTACATCTTCATCTGAAGCAGTTAAATCTGGAGTTTTAACTCACCAATCCAGCTCTCTACAACATCTGTCTTCCAGATGAACTGTAGGAAGGCCGAGTTGTCGATGAGGTTGGCACGACGGTGAGCAGCAGCATCTTCAAGAGACTTCATTTTCTGCTCAAGTCCTTCACTTCGCTGGGCAATGTTTTTAGCATTGTGGTTACCCTGGAAACAGAAAATGGAGGTCACATACAAAATCTGGGCACCAATATTAACTCATTTTTGCAGAACAATAAATGCAACATTCAAATTGTACAAAATAATTCTGCAACATACAAAAAGAATTTTTCTCTAAGAGTGAGTGAGTGAGTATAGTTTACACCGCTTTTAGCAATATTCCAGCAATATCATGGTGGGGAACACCAGAAATGGGCTTCACACATTGTACCCATGTGGGGAATCGAACCAGGGTCTTCAGCATGCTAGACGCTTTAACCACTAGGCTACCCCACCGCCCCTTTTCTCAAAGATATAACTAAATCATATATTATTTCGAATGTTACAGCTGTTGTTTTCTCTCATTATTTTTCCTCATTCTCTGTCAATCAGATAAGCATGTGTGATGTACCTCTTCAATGAGTTTCTGTCCTTCATTCTTGATCTCCTGGCATCGGTCTTGGTGCACCTTGCAGTCCGTCTCGAAGGCCTCGTGTTTCTTCATCAGACCCTGCAATGACAATGGAATTCTTCTGGGAATCCAGACAATATTTGATTTTTATGATATGCATTAAGATCTTTCCTTTTCATTGGTCCTGTTGAAGTCACCCCTACAAATCCATGATATTAGTTACAACACAATAACCAGAATTGATGGTTTAATTCCAAGTGGGAATTGTCACTATCAATTGAGACATATTAGACCAAGACCAAGTAACAGCAGGTCTAAATATGTCCCTTGGGTCCATTTCACAAAGGCATCTCAGCACCAAGATTACTGCAACTGACACCCATAAACATGGGATAATTATAATCCTAGTCAAAAGATACCTTTTTTGAACGGGACCATCTCTACAGTGGCTACAGAATCAAACTACCCTACCTGCACAGCTGCCATAGTGTCCCCAAAGTCTCCTCCAGACAGCAGATGCTGTTTCTCGAGATCCAAGCCTCCTCTTCCTCGACATTAGCGGAGAACTGCTGGTAGGCATAGGACTGGTCCAGCTTGAGTCCCCTGTCAGCAGACATGCTCTTCAGCTCCTCCCAGCTTTCAGCCAGTTGGTCCAGGCGTGCCCGGATATCGGATGCCCCGATGTCGGACTCAGCGATCAGCTTCTCCCCGACCTCCTGCACCCCCTGAATGCTGGGCTCATGGCTGGCCAACTCGGCTTCCAGACGCTTGTGTTTCTTGCGCAGGTTCTGCACCGATGTCAAGTCCTTCCCGTAGTCTTCAGACCCAACCAACAACTTCTTCTCCCTGAATAGAATTCATGTCCAAATAAGGAGCTCATTTGAAGAATCTTGGTTGATCTTGTACTGATTCAAACACCCCTGTGAGATATGGTGAACCCATAGATGATTCAAAGTAAATGCTTGGTTGCCTGTGTATTCCATATTTACTTACATAATTTTATGGTTGTATCAAAACTCTGGCAACTCAAATTATCACTTCAAGGTCACTTCAACTTTGACACAACATTGTTTGACCATTACTCTGTAATATAACTTTATTCTTTCCATGAAACATTAATAAACCAGTTTTAATTTGTCGCTGCACAGGAAAATTCTTAACATCATGAGATGGTTTAATCAAAGTCCTCAGAAGGAGGCATGTTGAATGTGTAACATTTCTCTCCATTTCCCACAATTCAAAGCATAACTCACTTGATCCATGCCTCCTCGTCGTCGATGTCCCTGAGGAACTGATGCATGGTGTTGGCCTCGTTGAGACGGCCACGGCGATGGATGGAAAACTCCTTGATCCTGTACAGCAAGGGAAGAGTGAGTGAGTGAGTGAGTGAGTGAGTGAGTGAGTGAGTGAGTGAGTTATTATTTAACGTCACATCGGCAATATTTCAACCATATCGTGACGAGAACATTTGACATTGAAATAGAATATATATAGATATTATAAAAACCTGCCGACCAGCAAGGGAAGAGTATGTTAGGACTTGCTAGGTTTCCTAATTGTAAATGTAACAACGAACCTCGCGGATCAACAGAGTTTCCTTACTGTAAGGTATTTTTATATTTCAACATTTTAATATTCAGCATTATTCCAGCTATATGGTGGCAGTCTGTAAATAATCGAGACTGGACCAGACAATTCAGTGATCAACCTCATCAATTGGGATACGATGACGTGTCAACCAAGTCAACGAGTCTGACCACCCGATCCCATTAGTCGCTTCTTCGACAATTACAGGATACTGAAGATCAATTTTCTAACATTGACTAAATATGTGGAGTGTAAATATGAGTTGTTAATATTGAATCATTATGGAAGTATGGAAGACAGAATCCATTATCTAAGAGTGTTGTTAAACATTTGTGTGATTGACAGTGTAACCTGGCTATGTAACCAGGGTTATCCGATTTACTGTCAACAGAGTAGCTGAGTCAGCCATTTTGACCACCAAATCACTACTACAGTTGCCCAAACTGCCAAAGTAATCAAGCAGTGTAAACAGTGTTATCCAATATACTGTCAACAGAGTAGCTGAGTCAGCCATTTTGACCACAGAATACACACTACAGTTGCCCTTACAGATAGTGTAACCAGGCACGAATCCAGTGTTACACTGCCAACAGAGTAAAGTTGTTCCCTCAGCAGTCATTTTGACCACCGAATCCACACTACAGTTGCTCTTACAGATAGTGTAACCAGGCAGCGTAACCAGTGTTATCTGATTTACTGTCAACAGAGAAGTGGAGTCAGCCATTTTGACCACCGAATCACTACTACAGTTGCCCTTATAGCCAGCATAACCAGGCAATGTAACCAGTGTTATCTGATTTACTGTCAACAGAGTAGTGGAGTCAGCTATTTTGACCACCGAATACAAACTACAGTTTCCCTTACAGACAGTGTAACCAGGCAGCGTAACCAGTGTTATCTGATTTACTGTCAAAAGTTGAGTCTGTTTCTGCACACTTACTTCTCATATCTTTCATTGATGGTCTTCTTTCTGTCCTGGAGACTCTCCGCATCCCAAACGCCAGCCTCTATGAACTGATCAGCCTGACTGTTCAAGTCTGTGATGCGATCCTGAGAAGAACAGTAATTTAATCAGTATTGTTAGATGTCACAACCAATGACCCACGACCCACGACGTAATAGTCCAGCATAAGGATGGGGGACAATAAAATCATGATGAGAAAATCAGTGATCATCTTATGAGCGACGTCACATGTCATCACGTATGATGACACACAATCACCTATGTACAAAGCGATCTTAGCGCTAAGGTGACTGTAACACCCATAGTTTTACATAGAGTCTTGAGTTGCGCTAAGGTTGTTTTGTACAATGGCGTCCATATCCACTGAGTTGCCCTGAACATCAAGTGTAAGTTGACAAATTCATCTTGAACCCTTGGCCATAAATTTAAGTATTAATGAAGGAGGAGTAATGTTTAATGTTCTTGATTGGTTTATCCATTAATCAAAGTTAACATTTTGTGAAAAACTTAGAGTAAATCACTTTGGGATATGCATAGGAATAAAAAATACTATTCGAAATATCATAAAGCCAACCAACATGGATTATTCTGAGAGGCACTCCCCTGGGGAATTCCCTATCATCCATGTGGCCTCCTGAGATGCATGCCTGTTTCACTCTTGGCAGTCTAAGTGTAATACTGGCTAAACAAAAGAAAAAAGTTCCCAGCCATGCTAAAAATCAAAATGAGAAAATGTCTCCTCGAGGAAGAGCCTCGTGTTAGGAAAAAATAAGGCATGTTGTTGCTTAATTATTTGCAACATGAGAAAAAAATGAAAAGTACAAAATTGTGTGGATGAATTACATGCAACATTCGTAGATACGAGCTCTATGAACAGCACACATATGCAGGTCATTAATGTCACCCCGACAAACAGGTGCTTCTAGTTCCGTGGGTTCCTTGTTCCCTGAGGTCTTGATCAGTGTCCTTGGAACACTGACCACTGCCACTTGGGATCAGAATAACGTTTGTTGGAGATTAACTCATATTCAGCAATATTCCAGCTACATGTGGTCTGAAAATTTAAGTCTTAACCCGACAATCCATGTCAACGGGGTATGATGACATGCAAGCCATCAAGCTGCCAAGCCTCACAATGTTTTGACCAGCACAGGATGCTGAGCCCGTTCTAACATGGCATTCCCACGTAGCTTGGAACGGAGTGAGTGAGTGTAGTTTTACGCCGCACTCAGTAATGTTACAGCTATATGGCAGCAGTTTGATAATAATCCAGTCTGGACCAGACAATCCAGTGGTCAACAGCATGAGCATCAATTTACGCAATTGGGATACGATGACATGTGTCAACCAAGTCAGCGAGCCTGGCCACCCAATCCCGTTAGTGGCCTCTTACGACAAGCATGGGTTACTTCAGATCAATTCTAACCCGGATCTTCACGGGTGGCTTGGAACAAATTGCCCAATGGCTCCAGAACATTGTGGTCATCTTGACTCCCTCTTTTTCTTCAGGGGAATCAAGTCATATGCATGTAACAAGATTATTTTTTAAATTCTAAAAATGATGAGAATCGGTTGACTTGCTGTTGCATCAAATCGACCTGACAGCAAAATTAACCTGATTGTTTTCAACACAGATTGCAAGGTGAGTGAGCCAGTTTAGCTTTCGCGCGCCACGCACAAGTTTAGTTTTGGTGTCCCCGCGTGATTTAGCAATATTCCAGCAATATCACAGCAGGGGACACCAGCGCAGGGGACACCAGAAATGGGCTTCACACATTGTACCCATGTGGGGAATCGAACCCAGGTCTTCAGCGTGACGAGTGAACGCTTTAACCACAAGGCTACCCCACACCCCCGACGTAAGGAAAAAACATCATGATAATGTCTATTGTTAAACACAACAGCACAGATTGGTGTGAACAAACCGATATTCTCTTGAGATGAATCTAGGATTCAAACAAGCAACAAAAAGATCCTGGCAGCAAAGGGACATAACTCAGGAGGCGAGGCAATGTCCGACACAATTTTGGACAATAAATCACTAGGACTCATGTAAAGAGCATATCATCAAAGTTGTGCATAAAGGTAAACATATGCTAGACAATAAGACTGGAATTTGACATGCGATCTCACTATTTATGAGCGGAAAATTGAGTTTAATGCCCTGTCAGCAGAATGGATAACAATGTGCAGGGACCCTATTTTGAAAAGATAGTAAATTATCCATAGTGAGAATCAAATGAGAAAATCTGGGTACACATGCACCCAATGATCATGGTGTGTATTGACCATTATTGTCAAAGTACTACTCACACTCGGCAACCATTGTGGCAACAGATTACCACCTTTGGTACATACTATTCACAATGTCCAAATGAATTACCAGGCATTTCACCTTCTGCAGCCAAGTCATTATTCTAAACATATTAGCCCTCACATCTAAACACTGAGTAATTATCAGGTAATTTCAAAGTGAAAGACTGGTGACAAACTGGATAAGTCTGGATAAAATTTATAAACAAGAACCTCAATAGCTATTAAAAATTGTTATGAAAACATTATTACCAAATTTTGAGTTTCAGAAGTGCTTTTACTTTGTAACATTTTTAATTAACTCAGGACTGAATAGAAACCTGCACATCAGTCAAATCTGGAATTATTTTCCATCTGTACTTATAAGATTAGTGAAGATACTGTATACTGATTAGTTTATAAAGTAATGCATGCGATTATTCAATCCAAACCTGCCTCCTGTCTCCTGCATACGTTAATAACCTACTACACGTCAAGCCTCAAGACACACTCAGAGACCTAATATAGAACATTACATGAAATATGGGCGCCTCCAGGAGCTGGGCCATCAGTGGTTTCTGCAGCATCGGTTCTTCCGGAGTCTGTTGTAATGGACACATAGTTATCCTTCAAATCACACGATTATAATGTCGTCATGCTGATTGTATACCTTCTTTTCCCTATCGGAAATACTGGAGATATCCCTCTGACACCCCCATTAACTTGACAACCCCCACCAGAATTACCTTCAGAATTACCCCAACCAGAATTAACTTGACACCCAAATTGTATAATCTCATGTTACTTCAAATAGCAACCATTAGAACACATGTGGTTTTATCTCATGTTGTTGGGATAATACAGAAAAATGTTCTTAAAAAGTTCTTTAATGCTTGATACAGTCTGTATATGAGAAGAAAATATCAAGAACGCCCTTAACATTTTCAACAGAATCTTGAAAAAGATTATGGAGGAGTTAAATGAAGTCACTTCTTGAATATTAACACAAACAAGCTTTGTTTCATTTGTCTAAAAAAAAAAGAAATAAAAAGATTGATAAGAATATGCATCCGTTATGCAATTACAAAATTTGGAATGAGTTCATATTTTGGATAAAAAGTTATAGTAGCGCTATAATGTGGATGTTTGCTCCCATGAAAACAACCAATGATTGATAGGATTCAAACCCAGACCAGTTCATCTGAAAAATGTAATTTTTAAGTAAAATGGATATTTTATACTTATCCTGAATCATGATTCAAAATCAAATTCACCAAAGTGTGTGAATTCACCATGGAGTAATATGGTTGAACTATATTGCACTGGAGCTGAAGACATGGCCGTCAAATGTGAAACTTAAAATAATCAACCAATAGGGATAAGACGAGGTGTTGGCAGTCTGCATCACAGCGGGCTTCTCTTAATGCGTGCCAGCATAAAGTAAATATTAATAAAAGGTAGAATTGGATAAATTAGTACCCGCCCAACTGCAATGTGAATATAATAAACATGGCGCCGTACATCATATTAAAAGCGGATCAGCAGCAGCATAAGCGTAATCTGCAATAGTGATTCAAAATCAAATTCACCAAAGTGTGTGAATTCACTATGGAGTAATATGGTTGAACTATATTGCACTGGAACTGAAGACACGGACGTCAAATTTGAAACTTAAAATAATCAACCAATGGGGATAAGATGAGGTGTTGCCAGTAATGTTTTGTTTGACACAAGTGCTGTAGTGGGTGGACATCCTACCTCATGAGCTGTGATGTCAGCCTCAAGGAGCTGTTGTTTCTTCAGCAGGTTCTGAACAGACGCCAGATCTTTGCCGTAATCCTCCGATGCCAACATCTGCTCCACCTGCAACATCGGTTACTTTGTTACAATATTTGTTGACCTTGTCCAAATAAACAGGATGTGCCTCAAGGCTTCTGACTTGCGACATGAGGGCAAGTGTCTGCTTCTTGTGAAAAGTCATTCTTCTGAACTTTTCAGTTTGTACATAGTACTAACCAGTGTCTTGAGGGTAAAAACTTTAGCTAACCAGCTTCAACGGCAGAGAGGCCTGGAACCTGATTTTACATTGATGTCATTGATACTGAGTGCAGAGGGCCTTCCAAATATTCTTGTGCAAGCTTATTGAGGCACTATCTGCTGGGAAGCCATTTTACTGACAATCTACATGTCCGGTGACAGTGAGGAAGGACTGACTGATTGACTGACTGAAATTGATTAACAGACATAAGATTTACGCAAGTGTCACATATAACAACTTCCAGTCAAAGTCATTGTGAAATATTCATCAAGGCAATACACTTGGGTCAGAAATGGGCTTCACCATTGAAATGGGATTTCGAACACATTACTGACCGCAACTACATGTCCAATGACAAGAGGAAGAAAATCACTGAGTATTATAAAGTGAACACAGAACAAGCACAAACCTCTCCAAGCCAGAACTCCATGTCCTTGACTCCAGCGTTGAAGGTCTGCTGGCGGTTGGCCTCCTTCAGCTTGTCACTCTTCTCTGCGGACTTGGCTACAAGGTCCTCCCACTGGGAGGCCAGGGACTCCAGGCGGGCTTGGACAGCATCGTCGGACCCAGCACACTGGTGTCGGTCAATCAGGTCTGGAGGTAGACACAGTGCAATACAGCAACTACACATCATCATCATCATCATCATCATCATTTACAGCAGACACTCTTCACCAATGTTTCCCTGTTATCTCCGTATCTCTTCACGGTGATCATAGCAATTATCTATTCAATTTACTTTTACATGATCAGATAATGTGAACATCAGATTCACACTCAAGCACAACAGATACTGTTTAACCAAGAGCCTCCAGGATTCAAAATGAGCGAGTGAGTGAGCAAGTTTCGTTTTATGCCACTTTTAACGATATTCCAGCAATATCACAGCGGGGGACATCAGAAAAAAGATTCACATCTTGTTTCCATGTTTGGAGTGAGTTAGTGAGTTTAGCAAGCAATGCTTTTAGCAATATTCCAGCAATAGTATCATTGATTTGATGATGGACACCAGAAATGAGCTTCACAGTTTGTATTCCATGTTAGGATATCAGCAAATCCGGTCTTCAGCACCAGAAATGCAAATGCTTTCAACACTGTGACTATTCCCCACAGTCCCAAGGATCGAAGACATACAATTGTAACATTGATTTGATGATGTTGCTTCCCCAGAAGATGACTTACTTTGTCCAGTTCCAATCAGACCCTGCAGACGATCAGCGTTGGCAGCGAGCTCAGCCTCAAAGGCCTGGTGTTTCTGGTGCTTGCTCTGAAAGAGTAACAAACATTTCAGGATTTGGGGCAAATCAGTCTTAGTACATTTTTCTTCTCCTTTCTTTCAGAGATAAAACAAATGTTTCAGAATGAGAAAATATATTACATCCTGGCTGGCAAAAAACATTAACAGACTGAAATATTAAGTTTCAAAATTAAGTTGAAGACTTTCTTTTTTTCCAAAGCCTATCCCTAAAATCAATCTTTCTGTCATCAATTTCAATGCAGTATACGTATTTTACTATCATATCCTCTGTATGCATTGTATGAATGCTTTTATGTAGCACCTTGAGCATGTATCAGTGGGTGGAAAATGGCGTGCTAAAAATATCCATTATTATTATTTATTATTATATGATCCTTGATTATCAGCATTGATACCTTTGAAAACTGACTGTATTATCCTTGAACATCAACTAAACTAATTTAGACATTACGCATGAAGCTCCTTATATATGTACTTCAGGTTACAATGACCTGTAGTCTAGGTATGTACCTGGATGTTAGTGGGATCCTTGTAGGACTCGTCCATGGCGATCTGGAGCTTCTCCTGGAGCCAGTTCTCCATCTCGTCAGCATCTCGGGAGAACTGCTGGAGAGTCTGAGCCTCTCCTAGCTTGGACCGATTCTCTATCAGAGCTTCCTTCAGCTGAGACCATCTACAGGACAGACAAAATGGTGGCATGAGACTTCTATGCAACATTACCACTGTGTTCAAGAAGTGCTCCCCATCAAATCTGCTGTCGTCATCACTAAACTGTGGTAACATCCCCCATCTGTACTTTTGATAGCTTTAATTCTCCCTTTACATTATGACACTGCACCAGATCACATAAAGGAGCTGTCTTAAAGTCCTTGTCATCATAAACATAGGAAAACCAAGAGCATCTGTGTTCAATCTTAGATTGGGGTCCAAAGCTTTGGAACTCTATCTCCCTTAAAAGTTGACTCCTAACTTTTCTAAACACTTCTATAAAACACATTCTTAAAATGTCCATGATCATCATAATCGACATCATCGTCATCGTCCTCCTCATGATCATCATCATCAACTAGTCACCTGTCTAGCACTTGGTCCCTCTTCTCAGAAACAGCAGGGCCATCATAGTGGTCAGCGGTGATCAACTGGTCAGCAAACTGCTGTAAGGAGTTGATCTTCTCCTCCTGAAAATGGACGCATACACGTACAGCTTACACATACACATAGCAGGGTCATGTGGGGGACTAAATCAGATGGCTAGTATTTGACAGAATTCATACTGAATCACTGATAGAAATGACTAAATTTCACTTGTTCTTCAAGACTTTTACTAATGTTAGTTCTGGACTAGAAAAACTTGTGATTGATATCAGGATTGACCTAATTCATTGAAATGAAGGTCAAGGTCACCAAACCTGACTGTGACCTTTCACATACTGTGATGAACCTAGGTGCCAAGAATGAAAAGAATCTAGTCAAAGGTTCCTAAGACATTCCAATTCGTACGTACGTACCCTAATACTATATCCCCCAGTTCACGCTAAACTTACGGCTGGGGATAATTATCCAGTCATTGAGTGTTGACCACCCAATCCCCAAAGTTCGTGTGACAAACACTGGTTGCTGGGAATGTAGCAGGAATGTATTGGGGATTATAAATCACGTGTACCCAACAGCCAATTTGTGTTATTTTGTTCGAAAGTGGGATAGAGAAAAGTTCTTCTTTTATTGAATTTCCAGTGTCTTAACATCGAATCATGAGATTGCATTCAATGCAATGAAATAAAACTAAGCATTAACACACTGTTATCAGTGAAATACAGGTTTCTTCTGCAAAGCCATGAGATGAGTTTGGTAGATAAATCCTGGCCTTATCCAAGATTACCAACAGGTACGGATTGGATGAGGTAAAGTCTGCCTGGCAAAGGGCTAACCTGTGAGTTGATTGCACGGTCAAAGTCCTCGTGTTTCTTGATGAGACTCTCCACATTGTCACCATCAACCTGGTCTCCGGCCAGGAAGGCTTCACGGGAAGCCATCCAGGACTCAGCCTGCTCGCAGTCCCGGTAGAACAGCTGAAGCTCCAGACATTGGTCCAGCTTCATACGACGAGAGATCCAGGCTCTGCAAGTAACCATGGTTACACATGATCATCTGGAGATGTATTTCCCTAACCATAACCAACACACAACCACAATAATATGTACTCCTTATAAGCATGTACAACCATTGAGTATGATACACTATGAAGCTTTTGCAAAATATAGTGTTCAGAGTCTCATTCAAGATTACTGCATATATATTATGCACTTGTGGATGGCTGATTGGAAGTTAATGTAATTTTTATGATAGAGGAGAGAGTGAGGACCAAAGGCATGGGAGGTCAATATGAATCGGGTCCCAGAATATGGAAACCAGGGAGGTAATGAAGGGTGAGTGATTGTACATTCACAATGGCTTCAAGGGAATTGAAAGAATTCAAGTTTCCACTTGACCGTTCGGAAGAGAGGATGAGAAAACAAATAATCATGAGTCAGGATAAGTAAAAATAATATTTTTAAAAAAAACCATGAGCTTATGTGCGTGTACACAGACTGAGTATAATACAATATGAATCACTCACGTAGAATATGGTGCTCAGTGTCGCAATCAAAATTACAGCATATATGTATCATGCACTTGCGTCATATTTTATAACAAACAAAGAAACATACTGTTCCAGCTCCTCCCGAGCACGGGCAAGTTCCTCAAGCTTCTGCTGAACATCTTCACTAGCGTAATGTTGATTCTGCAGAAGTTGTTGTCCAAGCTGCTCGAAAGCCTGGAATGTCCCGGCACGAGCATCGATCTCCGTCCGGTGTTCCTACAAGGGTAAACACTCCATTTACAACCCGTCAGTGACTTCTCCATTTCGGTCACATAAACAATGCAGACTTACGAAAGGAAAGAAAATAATGGTGAATATTAAAGACAAATTTACCTTACAGATTACATATATCGACAGTCAAATATCCAAAAATGACACTTTCAACTTTCATGGATTTTGACACCATTTTGAAAAGAAAAACATATCTAGGTATGAGATTGGATATTTGTCTATCTACCACATCAACTGTTTAAAGAAAACATTGGAATTGATGAAATTACACATTCTGAGCCAGTCTAGAGCAGTCAGTGTGTGATATACAATATTCATTACAATTTTTCTGATTTTCACTGTTTTTCAAAATCCATGCACAAGGTTAGAACAGTTTGGCAGTCTCAGGCTTTCAAGGGTGTCAAATTTATCTTCCGGCCAAAACATTCATATTCCACATCGATCATGTTTAGATTTAGTCATCAAAATAAATTTGGATGTCATGGGAATGGACAAATAGACAATTTTGACACCCCTACTTTTAGTTAATTTCTCGAGGACAATGAAAAATTTATTTCAAGAGTCCATTTACATTCCCAGCTGATTAGTGACAAAATTTCATATCCATGACCGGTTTTACACAATGCACTGAGCCATTTACCTTTTTAACTGCTGGAATATTAACAAAACGTTTTTTGGGTGTGTTTTTTTCACATTACGAACATTATGTGAGCAGGATTATAAGGGAATTTACAAAAGGGCCACAGTCTAATATGTCACGGGGAAGTTACATATAATTAAATGTAATCAACAAGGGGATATATTTTCAGTGAGGGAAGGATTTCTGATACGGAGGTTCACTCGGGGAGTATCTCGATACAGCAGTAAAAGGCTGCCGTGCATCTCGGATGCACACACTAACTACACTATGTACCCAAGTATGTATAATCATCACATGCACTGGCAGCCTGTCTAGATACACTGGCTCACACTCCAAACCATGCAGGGCAACTGAAAGTATCTCATACGATTAACAGAACGGCCATTGAGCGAGAGGTGAATCACTCAGCTTAAACAATTATGACGACTTCAAGCTATTGTTACTGCACCCCCGGTTCACTGGATATACTAGATGTGCATTTTAACAATTAAACTTGATGTAACTATTGGTGATTATCCAAAATCTTAGAGAAACTATTTTTCAACAATTAAAGTATTAATCAGTCATAAGCACGGAAGACACCATTAGATTCTTACCCTTGACAAAATCAAGCTACTTATCTCCACGTTAGTGAATGAGCTTAGTTTATGCCGCTTTTAGCAATATTTCAGCAATATCACGGCAGGGGACACCAGAAATGGGCTTCACACATGGTGTTCATGTGCGCAATCAAGCCTGGCCTACAGTGTGAGACCTGGCTCCCCAGATTCCCCCATCGCCATGTTAATGGGCCTAATGCACACATTCTAACTTGAATTCTATTTCTAATAGTTTGGACTTTTTAAATGTTATCTTCAAAGCAATAATGTAACTTTAAACGGTACCACTTCCTTTTTATTGGTTATTTTTCCTGTTTTCAGGGAAATACGTATCACCTTGACCAAGCTATCACATTAGCTATTACTTATAACCCTAATCAGGACTTTCTTATTCTCATTTAAGAATTTTTACCGAAATCCGCTGCAGGCTGATCAGATGAGCGCAGACTAAATATCCCAGTAAATGTACAATCTTTTACTCTCAACCACCCCACATTCAAAACAAGTTTCTTTGAAACAGATTATTTCAGGAATAAAATCCATCATATATCTTGAATATCCACGAGCGACACCACTGAGGCCATGTTATATTGATCGTATGAGAAATTAAGAATGAGGATTAGGACACAGCCATGTAGTCCATGCAGTCCACTGGACACGCAGCTAATCGGGGCATCTACAAAAACCTGAAACAAACTTGTTAATTAGTCTTCAGTGAGAAAGGCAGCCTAAATCTGACCCGGATATCACGTCCAGGGACTTCTCGTTTGTTTGATTGTTGTTTAACCACACTCAACATTCCAGTTGTATTACGGCTGTCTGTAGATGATCGAGTAAGGACCAGACAATCCAGTGATCAACATAATCAGTACTGATCTACGCAACTGGGTTACGATAACGTGTCAACCAAGTCAGCGAGCCTGACAACCTGATCCCATTAGTCGCCTCTTATGACAAGCATGGGTTGCTGAAGACAAATTCTAACAGTACAAATATAAACGAGTGAGCCTGAGTTGTTTCTCAAAATGTTCTAACTCTTGTACTCATTTCCATTAAGGTTTCGTTGGTTGTTGTTTTACGGATATTGCACACTCAGCAATATCCCAGCTACATGGCCTGCAGGGGTGGAAATAACCCATTGCCCGACGTCCGAGTCCAGTGTTTTTTTCTGTCGGCAAGCAAATTTGTATATCACACTGTACCGGTGTCCAGTTGATATTCCAATGTTAATTATGTTGTTTATTTAAAATCAACAAGAAAACGGCCGGTACAGTGGAAAAATTATCAGGGCAAGTGATTTTACATGTGCCACTGTACCGGAATACACTAGCAATTTTAAAGTTATTTCCACCCCTGGCCTGAAAATAAGTGAGGATGGACAAGACAATTCAGTGATCGATATGGTGAGCAAACCTTGCATCACTTACAATTAACACGGAAGTGATTCTAACTCAAAAGTCCCTAGGTTTTTAATTTCACAGATTAGTGCCTGGCAATCGCTTTAATTCTTCACGTAATTATTTCCAAATTTGTACAAATTTCCACCGTGACTAGCTTGCCTTTCTCACTGAGCAAACAAGAGTAGAGAAGAATATATGACAGTCTAAGACACGAGTCTCAGCCCCATACAATTCCATGGACAGACACACTCATGCAAAATATATACATTATTAGATCCGTTGAAAATCAGGTTACGCCCATTGACAAACTTTCCATGCATCAAAAATATATTCGCATGTATTAACCGGGACGTCTTCGGATTGGCTATCGTAGTTTCATTGTTTGCATTATGTTCATGTAAGATGATACCTCTATTTTCCACTGTCAAAACGATTTCAGTTGAAAGCGATGTTCACTGGGCAAACACATAAATGTCGAAACTCGTCACTTTTACAGGGTGAAATAACTCAGCACTGAATCCATTCTGTGTTCAAAAGTAAAGAGTAATTTCCTTAATAGTTACATTACTTATCCCACCGGGTACCCATTTTCTGCTGAGTGAACTAAATCCATCTTTCATGAACATACAATCGATAGATAGCCAGCTAATCTAAAGGGTTCAATTTCAACCATGGGGTTTCTGATGCAACACAAGTAACATTCGGTATAATGAATTTGTCATGACAGGACATCAGTCACATGGCGTGCGATCACGTGACCAGGTCACATGACCTATGACATCACTACCTCTTCCTCTTCTTCTTCATCGGGCAATGATGTGATGCCGTAATGGCTAACGATCTCAGAACTGAACATCTGTAATCAGGGCATAGCTCACAGCTTTACATGGGAAGAGGACATAGGACAATGACAACAACAATTATCACGTGACGGGGTGTAGCGATCATAGGGGAGACACGATTTCTACTAATACTGACTTGAAATTGGTAAAAGTAGTTCTAATGTTTTAGAACTCCACACTCAACAATATTCCAACTGTATGATTACAATCCACAACCTACATTAGAAAGTCATTTGTATGTTATTATGGTAACACTTCTTAAGTAATATGCATGAATTAGAATACAGCATAAATAAGTCCATATATGCATAAAGCTGTGTAAATTTTCTTAGCACTTAAACACGACTAAGGAGAAATTTAAGTGAAATCAAAATACACCACTTCAAATTGAATGTGTTCCAAAAAGTTGCACATAAATTACAGGAAAGTTCCGCAGAATCTTAATACTGATTCTAAATTAGGAATCCCAATTTTCCCTTGCTGCAAGTATATAACACCATGTGTATGATAAGGCTAGTGCCTCATCTATCTTCTCCACCAAAACAAAGACTCCCTGTGTGTCCCTCTATATAGCTGGTGACTCACCTGGTGTCTCTCCAGGAGAGCTTCAGCACCGGTGACGTCCTTGGCCAACTCGTCGGAGGAGACCAGAGCCATCATGCTGTTGATCCAAGTTGTTAGATCCCTGAAACAGAAGAACACATTCTTACTGATCTTGCAAGGTTTGATACATCAATTTACCTCAACTCCAATAATTCTCCTACAGAATCTATCCAGTCCACTACAAACCAGGACATCTGGGAAAGAAATCTTTCAAAATTTCCCACTAGACCACTGAGTGGACAATAATTTGTGGTCCTGTCTGTACTTCACTGGTCCAAAATAACATTCGTAGATTTACTCAACTATCAACACAAAATTCAGTGGCCAACAGGCGCCTGTTCCACGAAGCTCTTGTAAGCCTTAGATCTCGTAACTTTTCTCGTAGCATTTGTATTTCCTATACTGTAACATTAACTTAAGATAGTGCTTTGTGTAACAGGGCCCAGGACCACTGCAAACTTATCATTTAGTGGTCCTGATGAATTTTTACTAGCCACGGACCACAAGACCAGAGTAAATTTCGCACACTGGGACATGGTGAGAGAATAAAGGAGGCAGGTTGTAAATGGTCGAATAAAGATCAAATAAACCATATGACTGAGAGAAATCTGTTTCAAATTTTAACTAAGCTGTCTCTTACCTGTAGTCGCTGAGGAATCTCTGAAGGTCGTACGCATCCAAAAGTTTGGCCTTGCGGGCATCAGCCTGCAACAAAACAACTCACATTGACACTTTGTCATTTACTGAGACCAACATATAAAGACAATTCAGCTATTGGAAGAAAATGTACAATGGAACGCTATTCATTGTATCTCATTGTTGAAACCTACCTTTGCTGTGAGGGCGTTCCATTCCTCGTTGATCTGGGTCTGGTGTTCATAGATGGTCTCTGCCTGTTCTGGATGAGACTGCATCAGACGCTGGGAGTTTTCATCCAGACTGCGGACCTGTTATTAAAGCAACAAATAGAGATCTAGACGAGACAATCTAGTTGCTGACATCATGAGCTTGAAGCCATCAAGTCTCAGGACACAATGACATGCATGAACCAAGTTCACGAGGCTGAGGACATCTATTACTACCCTCATATCTGAAAGGTGCTAAGGAAAATGTTTCATCACACACTGTAAAACAGGTACTGTATATCGCTCCCTAGGAGACAGATCTGTAAGAAGTACAAGCGACTGAGTGAGTAAGTTTAGTTTTACGCCGCACTCAGCAATATTCCAGCTATATGCCGGCGATCTGTAAATAATCGAATCTGGACCACACAATCCAGTGATCAACATCATGAGCATCATCTGCGCAATTGGGATACGATGACATGTGTCAACCAAGCCAGCGAACCTGATCACCCAATCCCGTTAGTCGCCTCTTACGACAAGCATGGGTTACTGAAGATCAATATTCTAACCTGGACCTTCACGGATTAAAAGAGACTGACCTTCTCTCCGAGTGCAGCCAAGTCTCTCTGTAGCCCTTCATGCTTCCTCTGCAGAGCCTGTACACTGGCCAGGTCATGGCCATAGTTGTCATTGTTCAAAGTGTTGTCCTTCTCAGCGATCCAGTCCTTTGTCTCAATCACCTCTCTGGGAAACAAATTTGACATGTTACTAATGACATTATAGGATGATTGACTCCTTTATTACAAGTGTACAAATGTTACTGCAAAACATTTCAGAATCCTACAATTACCTCCTCCCTATCTAACTGACCAACAAATTTTCAAGCCAAACAGAAGGAAAAAGAATTTACTTTTCATTTCATTTCAATTCAACGTGATCATCAAATGTCCCCAAAATAACACAAAAACAAGTGTGTCCTTTACAATTAAATGCTTCAACTTTAAGGGACTCCTGGAATCCTGGGCTCCCATATAATCTGAATCTAGGACCCTGTTAACTTTTACCATTCAGATTAAGACAAACTATTTCCAACACTATGGATAAAGCATGGAGTGAGTGAGTGAGTTTAGTTACGCAGCACCAAGCAATATTCCAGCTATATGGCAGCAGTCTGTAAATAATTGAGTCTGGACCAGACAATCCAGTGATCAACAGCATGAGCATCGATCTATGCAAGTGAGATACAATGACATGTCAATCAAGTCAGCGAGCCTGACCACCCGATCCCGTTAGTCGCCTCTTATGACAAGCATGGGTTACTGAAGATAAATTCTAACCCGGATCTTCATGGGTGATAATGCATGGAGCCACCCCAAATCAGCTGCCTACCTGTGGTATCTCTGCACCTCGAAGGCGCTGCCCAGGGTCTCCGCAGGCTCGGCTGTCACCTGCTGGAGGGTCACCCATCTCTGGTTCAGTTGCTGCAGAGAAAATCAAACACAATTAACCATGTATTAGCATACAGTGTAACTGTTAAATGCTACACTCAGCAATATGAGAGCAGCCAGTTAAACATAGTCAGGGAGAGATAATCCAGTGATTTATATTATGAGCAAAAACCAATGTGTTGCAATTATGCATTAATTATATTACACTGAGTATAGGGATTTTATAATTGAACTTAGGCAGTCAGTGTGATGAGGGAACTCTCAAACCACCAAATTACCCACCATTATGCCACCCACTCACACCCTGTTCGTACACTGATTGACTTACCGTGATCTGTTCACGGATCTTCTCCGCAGCCTCAGTCTGTCCCATGGCAGTCAGTCTGTCTGCGATGGAGTTGAGTTCCTGGAGACGCACCTCGTTGGCTTTCAAGTCCTGAATTTCAAAACAGAAACCTTGAAGAAATGCCAAAACTAAAAATCATTCACGAAATCACATAATATGAACCATTTTGTTCATTTGAATCTGCAACAAATAGGGGATTAATCTGGGTCTACTAAAGTTACTAGTTACTGGGAATTTTACCTGGGCCTGTACAGATACAAACACAACTTGTACTACAGCTTCACAAAATATTGTTGAAACATTATGGGCTGAAACACTATTAATGAACCTGCAATTTTAAAAGGTACCTCTGAATCACTCAGTAACAATCTTAAGAAGATATTGTGTTGCCCTGCTTAAGTGAGTGAGTTAGTTTAGTTCCACCGCTTCCAGCAATATTACAGCAATATGGGGGACACCAGATATGGGCTTCACACTATACACCCATATGAGGAATCAAACCCACGTCGTCGAAGTGATGTTTGAATGTTTTAACCACTAGTTTACACCACCGCCCCTACACTGCTTAAGAATCACATTCTGAGCGGACATATTTCTCTTGTTACCTTCTGGAAGTCGTCAAACTTCTTCTGCATCTCCTCCACTTGCTCGAGGTCCTCTCCGACCTCCTCCCCAACCATCAGGTTCTCCTTCTCTGTGATCCACGACGCCAGTTCCGCTGCCTCACGCACCAGCTGGTAGGCCTTTACGGACTCCCCGAGTTTCTCATGGCGCTGACGGGCCAGGTCAAGCAGGTTGGCGTACCTACACAAAGATTGGGCAGATGTCAATTAAAGGGGTCATGCAACTGCTGAACACTACAGCTATAGATGTACTGGCAAGCTGAACCAGTGGTTGACAGCACAAGCGACCAATTTTGTCAGTATAATGACTCTAACTGGACCATGTTACATTTTGACCAATCAACTGACTGACTGACTGAGTTTGGTTTTACGCCGCTTTTAGCAATATTCCAGCAATATCACGGCGGGGGACACCAGAAATGGCTTCACTCATTGTACCCATGTGGGGATTCGAACCCAGGTCTTCGGCATGACGAGCCAATGCTTTAACCACTAGACTTCCCCACCGCCCCTTGACCAATCAAACCTCCTGGCAATCAACCCTTATATCAATCATCTACAATTTGGAGTCCTCATGGATGATTAAGCTTCATGCCATAAGTGGTATTGTATTGACTGAATTAGCCATGAAAGGTCTGATAGATACTATTGTTTAAGACCTCACTCAGTAATATTCCAGCTCAATGACAGTGGCAGATCGACAACCAAATTGCAACCACACAATCCAGTGATTGATATCATGAGCAAAGCCCCATGTGGCAGGGCATGACGACCCAATATTTACTGATTTATTAATGGTTCCTTGGAATTTTGTTCTGACCTGAATCCACCTGAATCCACTTTAACTCCCATAACAGAGAAGCCAATATTTAACTCACTGTGTCTCGATCTGGTTCTGTCTGACAGAGATGGTGAACTCATCCATAAGGTTGTTGCGGCTAGCAGACAGACTGGGGTCTAGCTTCTTCACATAGGCAGCTGGGACAAAGCCCTGGCGGTCATTCACCTCAACCTTCCACCAGTCCTGTCAACAGAGGTTAGGGTTGCAGTGCAGACGGATACAGTCATCAGTAAATAAAACTGGGCACAACCATAATATATACATCCAACCTAATTAACTGAATATTGACACACAACCCAGTGGTTGATAACATGAGGACATGACACTAACACTGTCGTTTGCTGCGGTTTCCATGACAACGTACCTTGTTGGAGCTGTTAAGCAGGGTAAGCTGATCTCCCTTCTTCATGGAGACTTCGCGGGGAGACTTCTCTGAGTAGTCATACAGGGCGACCACTTTCTCTGTTCCGAAGTCATCGATAACTGGAGCTTCTTGTTGCTGCAAAGATCACAATGTTATAGTATCACAACTGTTTGTACCACAATCAATGTCAGAGGCTTTATCTCAACTCTATTTTGGAAAACAAAACATGAAAACATTCTCGTCTCGTTTAAGCAGATGACCTTCAAACTGTGAAGACTACTGAAATAAAATTTACTATAGTCCTTTCAACAAATATTTCAAAATTACACACAATTTTTCGAAAGCTGTCTGAAGTCACATAACCTAATGAATTGCAGAGTGCCTATACTGATTCATGAAGGTATTGACATTAAATAATGGAGTTAAGAAGAAATTCACAATCATTCAAGGAAACAATTGTAGGGATTTCACTTGAGTTATGAATGTCATCGTACTGTGTCTGATTTCAGGCTGTATGGCCTTCAGATTAAGAATTTTAGAAGAAATTAACATCAATTCAAGAAGACGTCTGCTTTAAGTTTTTGTAAATCTACTGAAGTTATTCATTAACTGACATAGAAGAATGCTTAACGAGATCGGCAGGTTGATGTTTTTGTAAGTGAATGTGGTACAAGCTTTATCGAGAGGTGGCCTCTTTCTGTATGCTTCAGTAACAAAGCTCAAGACTGAAAGATTAACTTATGATTAACTCAGTAGGGCACACACTGGGAGTTGATTATAGACGGATGCTTCAGGTGTGGATACGGGAAGGCTATCTTTTTGTCCATAGTTGATGAACAGGAATCGGGACAGGAAAGCTTCAACCAGTTTTCATATACTGGTTTTCAAAGCTGTGTTGAGTGGGGTAAAGGTCTTGGGTGTGTTTGTGTCAGTAGGAAGGGAGGTAACTCCAGGATGTAGGCGAAACAACTAACCAAACGAATTTTAAGACCACTGAAATAGGGGACGTCTGGATTCTGGAAAAGTACACATTTGTTTATACCATAGACATAAAGTTGCCAGTCTTTGCATCGCAAAAGAAGTTGATTGGCAATAGGCATTCTGTCCAGCCAGTATCATTATAATGTAACTTATAAGGCTGATATTTGATTTTCTTCCAAGTTCATAACCTGAATTAGCATGCAAAAAAATAATCAGCAAAATATTCAACAAAAATGAAGACTACACAGAGACCTTAAACTCAAAATGGACTGTTTCAGTAATTAATGTAATGTCCAAGAAGAATATTCATCGACAATGCATGCTTTCCTTCCAGTATAGGTCCGTCTCCTATTCTCGCGGGTTTCCTATTCTCGCGGTAAATACGTTTTCTGCCGAAATCGCCGATGCGTGACACTTAGCGGTTGTTTACATCACCGACTGGTAACTAGGAAGTGGACCAAGTCGGTGAATAATCAAAATCTTGCAGTGTCACGAATATTGGGGAGTTTATACCAACTTGGACATATCATTACTTTTTCCCGCCCTTTCCGGCAGGATGACTCTTACATACACTCAATAACGTTAATTCCTCGTAATACCGCGAGAATAGGAGAAGCCTCATTTCGTCAATGGCGGATGGCATTGTTTATCACCGGGCTCACGAGTGGTAATTCACCTGATGGATCTGGCAGCTGATAGATGTAGATGATAGAGGAGAAGGCCCTTCATTTAAAAACAACAAGCATTCATACGATAAGAATTGTTTATGTTATTTTTTCAGCCGATATCCGTAAGTACCGCGAGAATAGGAAACGCCTTCCTATATGATTAACATACTGGATAAACAACATTTGATACATAACAAAAATAAAATCTACACAGAGATTCTGAACCAAAACAGATTGTTTCAGGAATTAAAGTTCAGGAGGAATCTATCAGTGGTTCTTTACCTTGCATGACTGAGCCTGTTCACGAAGACCTTCGATGACGCTGCGGTAGGCCTCAAGGTCGGACATGAAGGCTTCATGTTTCTTTATCAAAGCCTGAAAAACAAGGTAAGTTGTTAGGTAAGTATTACCGCTCAAACATGCTACAAGTCAATGCATCACCTGAAGTCCCACCTCAATGATTGAATACCGAGTGCATATTGACAAAATAAGTTTCTTAAATGAGTACAGTATGTAAAATATATTTCATGATCCCTTTTCTTCATCTGGTATATGTTCATGCATGGTGGGACAGGTATTATGTTGAACTATAATGAAAGTGTAATGAGATAATCTTTATCGTTTGACACAAAAGAAGCGTAGATGCTGTTAGCAATGAATTCCCATTGAAATGCAACGAACAGAGCTATCCCCATCCCAATATTGTGCATCTACACAAACCTCAGCCGAATCCTCGTCACGTCCATAGTCAGTGTTGGCAGCCAGTGGTTCCTTTTCCCTCATCCATGACTCGGCCTCGTTAGCGTCGGCAAAGTATTGCTGAGCCTGGAAGGAGTCCTCAAGGTCCTGCTTGCGCTGGGTGGCCTTGTCCTAGAGCAGCAGAGAGGTGACAGGAATGAGTTACCATGGCATATACAGTGCACTCTGTCAAACTCGACTCTGTCTTTCTCGATTGCTGTATAAACAGGACTGAACTCACGGTCCCGACGTAATCCTTCTTTGTTGTCATAATAAAAAGTTCTGTATCTCGACTCTCATTATTTCTCGGATTTCGACCAAAGTGTCGGCCGGATAAGGTAGTTACATGTAAAAACATTGCTATATAATTCGGACTGAGCAGGAAGTCCGCTTGGCCAATAAACCTTGAATCCGTTGATTGGTTTGTGTATTTTGTCTTATTTACTTAGCAGGAAGTCCGGCTTTGGCCAAGACCGGCGTGGTCTAGCGGTGAGCGCTTTTATTTACCTTTGATGCGACTAACACCAATTGTAAACTATAATTGAGCTGATCATGTCAACTCAGTGTCAATGTCACTATGCATTTAAAATGCCATCAGACACAGTGTGATATCAATCAGTTGTAAGAAGCGATTTTATTGGATAAAGATTGGTTTCTAATGACGCTTTTAGCCACAGTCTGCTATAAAATTAAGAGTCGGATTGGTCAAAATCAGACACGTGACCCAATCATATTACGGGCGATGGATACCGCCCTCAGTAAACGAAAACCTTTAGATTTAGACAAAAGTTTTGGGTAAAATAATGCTATTCTGAACATATTAAGTAAGAAATCGCTACCTATACATAAATTATGGAACTTATTCGACTTATCGTGCTAGGCTATGACCTGTGACAAAAAATGCTTCATGTATATATTTTCGTGATTAAACATCGTGGTCCAGCTGTGAAGATTGAGGCGGGCGAGAGCCGAGATGTCACTTGTCAGTGACTTGCCTTACATTACATGATCGCACAAAAGATTGAAATAGTAATTTTATATGTACGTTTGACAACTTTTATGAATGTTGTTGTTGATTTTATTCATTAGTTTATTCAATTTATTTAATGAATTCCTCAAGAAACATCGCTACTTTGCTCTTTGACAATGTTACTGTGGACCCACTGTCAAGCAGGTGTCCGAGAATCGTTGTTTCAATAACATTGCGTAAAAATAGTTTATAATTTTAATTCTGCTGATAATATATGATAAATTGAAATTTAATAAGTGTTTTCAGACATTGTGAAATGTGATAGATTTAATATATGAATCATAAGTCAGGTAAGTTCCTAGAATTATGTCTCCATAAAATCTGTGTACTCGGACTACTGTATATCCTCAAACTGGTCCACTTTCAGAGCTGATACTTTCAACGGTACATTTAGTCTTAAGTTGACTTATAAGCTGAAGTTACCGAAGCAGATTATTTTTGGTTGCATTGTAATGGTTGATTTTGTGGTTAAAGGCAGACTGTTTTATTATAATTACTTATTATCACTATTAGTGTTATTAATGTTTGTGCCAAACACTTGGATTTTGTCAATTTTTGTGTGTTGATTTTGGTTTTCGTATTTGGACCAGAATAGTTCGAATATATTTGACCAGACTTAAGATTAGGACTAGTGACTGTTACTGATGGAAGATGTCAGCTTGCAGAGTGTTAATTTACATTTAAATTTGCCATAAAATTCCCATCATGTAAATATCCGATCATTATGCACAGAACACAAGTATGAATGGGTGCTACAATCATGTGATCAGATTTAAATCACCCTATTTGCAATCTGTTTTCAATGTGAAAAAGGTGGAATTAGTTTGGATGACATGAATACTGTAAACACTTAAATATCAGAGATCATGTACTGTAAACATACTTTTTTTCGCTTGGTGCAAATTTCGCGGAATTGACAGTTTAGACTACATCGCGCGGTCAATTATTCACGCAATCAGAAAATGCCGGAACTGTCAACTGTCTCTTCGGCCTCAGAAAGCACCTCCCCCCAAGACACCTGGACTTCCAGATGCAAATGATTGCAAAGATGACACTGAGGCCGAAATCGTAAATCGCGTAATTTCAAACAAGCCGGTTGTTGTGAATGTGATTATTGATGTGTTAATTGACTATCAAGGAAATGAACTTCTTCTGTATATGAAGCTTTTTGTGATTTCATTTCGTGATATGCAGGAATAAATATAAATAAAATCTTAATGAATAAATAAAATACCCTTATTTTACCCCATTCCATGTGCGTACAACTTACCACGTTCATGAGGGTCCGTATAAGTAGTGTTGATTATATATATTTTACATTTATAAAGCAAAAACTGTAATTAAAATTACACAATGCTAGGTTATATTTCTTTGGGTAAAATAATAGTCCTCTGTATTATATTTTACTGATGACTGCGTCAGAATTCATCCCGTTATTATTGTGCATGTTTGAACTTGTTCGCCGGGAAACGTGAACACAGCTGATTGCTATTTCCGACTCAAATACACACAGTAATCTTAATCCCTGTAAATAATACAATGAATGAATGAAAGGTTTATTCACTGTGTATACATTTTCCCGGTAAAATATTTTGCGCGAAAATAAAACCTGCGCCATATATAATACGTTTACAGTAGTTTGGAAATCCTAGTTTCTGGACTGACCTTGAGTGTCTGCCACTTGTCCTGTAGTTCGCCAATCTTCTGGTTGATCGTGTCTTCGGCGAAGTGTCCTTCCTTCACCATTTCCTTGCCTACCTCACAGACATTGCTGATACGAGGCTCGTGTCCAGCCAGCTCGGCCTGAAGTGCCTGGTGCTTCTTCATCAGATTTTGTACCCCAATGAGATCACGTCCTGGATGTACAAGGTTACGAATAAGTTTCTGTTGGTTGTTTAGTACAGTACTATATTCCAGTTACAAATATAACAGTGGCCTGCAAATAACTGGCTCTGGACTGGACAATCCAGTGATTGATGTCATGTGCATTCATCCCTGTAGCTGATGTTTAGTGTTCTCTTAGATGCATGCATAATATATGTACCAAGAATACCCCGGGATTACAAATCAGCAGTCTGAGATGAGGAGGATTTTCTGATGCTGTAAACAAAATCCTCCCAATATCATACTCACGAGGATGATGTTTAAACTTTGTATTAATTTAAGGAATCCATACACAAGAATTACACAAATCAAAAAGGCTCTCTTAATGGTCAGACACGAAAAACTTGAATAAAAAAATCCAAATAAATTCAAATATTTATGTTAATTAATTATCATTATTTAATAATCTGGACTTTAGTTGATTCAGCAATTTCACAGAAATCCATGTTGGTTGGCTGGTTTGCTGTTAAACGCCGCACTCAGCAATATTCCAACTATATGGCGGCGGTCTGTAAATAATCAAGTCTGGACTAGACACTCCAGTGATCAACAGCATGAGCATCCATCTGAGCAACTGGGATACGATGACATGTGCCAACCAAGCCAGCGAGCCTGACCGCTCGATCCTGTTATTCGCCTCTTATGACAAGCATAGGTAGCTAAAGATCAATTCTAACCCGGATCGTCATGGGTAGAAAGCCATGGCTGTAAATACCATCTGAACCAGACCATCCAATGATTGACAGTAAGAGTAAACAATCCTGGCCATCAGTTTACACTGACACACCATCAACAAAGTCACCTGAGTCTCAACACTCGAGTCATTTGGTAATCACTTACAACAAACACAGGTTGCTGTGGGAGAGAGATTCCACCATGGGTGGAACAGATAGTAAACAGTGAGTGAGTGAGTTTAGTTTTATGCCGCTTTTAGCAATATTCCAGCAATATCACGTCGGAGGACACCAGAAATGGGCTTCACATATTGTACTCATGTGGGGAATCGAACCTGGGTCTTTGGCTTGATGAGCGAATGCTTTAACCGCTAGGCTACCCCACTGCCCCAGATAGTAAATAACACCATAATAACACTAAGGCAGCTCACCTCTGTTGGTGGAGGATGCGATTGGCTCTTTCTCCCGGATCCAGTCTTCTTCGTCCTCCACATCTCGAAGGAACTGCTGAAGGCTGATGGCCTGGTCCAGCTTCTGGCGACGTCCAGTCATTGGTTGCTGTTGACCACACAAATACTTTACTGTCAGACAACGGCTCAACACAAGTCATGATGATCTTATACACATCAGTGACTTGTTATCATTACCCTGTAGTGTGAAACGTTAAACCCTTTAAGGGTTAGAATAGGATTTTCCCAATAGTTTACTACTGGGTCTACATAACTCCAAACAGCACTCAGCAATATTCCAGCTATATGATGGCGGTCTGTAAATAATCAACGGGGTATGATGACATGCAATCCATCAAATTGCCAAGGCTCACAATCTTTCGACCAGCAAAGGTTGCTGGGCCCCTGTTCTAACAGGGCATTCCGACATGGCTTGGAATGGAGTGAGTGAGTGTAGTTTTACCCTGCACTCAGTAATGGTACAGCTATATGGCAGCGGTCTGTAAATAATCGAGTCTGGACCAGAAAATCCAGTGATCGACAGCATGAGCATTGATCTGCACACTTGGGAGCTGATGACATGTGTCAACCAAGTCAGCGAGCCTGACCACCCGATCCCATTAGTAGCCTCTTACGACAAGCATGGGTTACTGAAGATCAATAATCTAACCCGGACCTTCACGGGTCTCCAAACAAACTTTGAAGCAAAAGTTTGATGTTAACTAAGCGATTTATATAGGATTCAAAATGACTGTCCTCAACAGGCAAACTGAGTTATATTTGTTTGGGTATCTTTGAAAAGTTCTTATATGCTTATGTTTGGACACTGTATTCAATGCAACAAAGTAAAACTAAGCTTTCCTCTTTTAGGTCAGAGTTGACTTACACAAACCTATTTTCGCATTAAAATGAACTCAACTCCCATACCCTAACACAGACTTTGTGTAAGAGGGCCCAAGAAAATAGGAATCCTCTCTTCAAATACATCGAACAATATATCACTCACAACATGAATTTAGAAATTTGTGATTCTTTGGGCTGAATATTGGCTCTGAACAGGTCTAGGTAAGTCCCTATTCTCCTTTAGTATTTAAGGGACTCCAGAACACAAGGACTATGACAAGAAAAGAATAGAAAGTCTATGGCTTCAGGCATGTGGGTGTGTGCCTACAGTTTTTCAATACACATGTTCATGTCGGATGTGTTTCATCTCTCCCTCTCTTTCTAGCACGTCACTCACCGTGAGTTTCTGGTAGCGCGCTCCAGCACAATGTTCTGTTTAGCCTGGATGGTGTCACTATCAAAATGGCCAGTGTTCTGGAACTGGGCTGCCTGAACTTTGATTCCATCAATACGGTCCTGTGATCAGAGAGAGAGAAGGTCAGTTCAGTTCCATCAAAACTAGTCTAAGGTAGAAAGTCAAAACAAAGGGTGTGTCAGAAAGTCAGTACTGTTGCAGAATGATCAGTTGGTTGGTTGGTTGTATAACTCCACACTCAGCAATAATCCAGCTATAGTAAGTGAGTGAGTGAGTATGGTTTTACACCGCACTCAGCAATATTCCAATATCACGGCAGGGGGACACCAGAAATGGGCTTCACACATTGTACCCATGTGGGGAATCGAATCCAGGAATTCGTGTGACGACCAAATGCGTCAACCACAAGGCTACCCCACCGCCCCTAATCCTGCTATATGGCGTCGGTCTGTTAATAATCGATTCTGGACCAGATCATCCAGTGATCAACATCATGAGCATCAATCTACGGAATTGGGACATGAGGCCAAGTCATCAAGCCTGAACACATGTAAGACGCTTTTTATGACAAGCGTGGGTTGCTGAAGACCAATTGTAAGATAGATCTTCACAGGTCTCAGGTGACAGACTGAGTTTGGTTTTATGCTGCTTTTAGCAATATTCCAGCAACATCACGGCAGGGGACACCAGAAATGGGCTTCACACATTGTACCCATGTTGGGATTCGAACCCGGGTCTTCGGCGTGACGCTTTAACCATTAGGCTACCCCACCGCCCCGGTCTCAGGTGAACAAGAGAAATCTGTACATACCTGATGAGCTCCGACATCAGCCTCCAGCAGGGCATGTTTCTTCTGAAGGTTCTTCACTTGAGTGAGATCCTACAATGTTGACAATCAACATGAAACAACACCTTATTCATACTACTATCCTTACCACTAGTAACTCCTTTAAGAAAAAAATAAATAAAACAATACACAATGATATCCTGCAATATTTAAACTGTCAGACATTTCATCATAAGATAAAAGGATTATTAACAATTATATGAATTTTCATTTTTTCAGCATCTCAAATTTAAAATGTTTAGTTACAACTCATCTAAACTGTTTTTATGTCAAATTCCATTTTCCACAGTGACAAAATCTGTTACCATGGTTATCAAATTTACAATGGTAATCAAATTCCTCAATTGTTGAGAATTACTTGACTCCTGATCAAGGGGTAGTGCTATGTTCAAAGCAGTCAGTTGTTAGGTAAACGTAACATTAGTATGTATGTATGCACAAGCAACTGTTTCTGTGTAACTCAGCAATGGTAACTCACATCATGCTGAAATACATATATGTCCAATCTGTCTAGCTTATACAGTAGGTTACCATGATCTAAGCCTGATGGAGATGTTACTAGACACAGGCTTCAGTCCAGTGGTTAATGTTGGAGACTTGTTAAACCTTGCATCAATTAAACATAGGTTACTTAATTTTATATAAAATGTTAATATGTAATGTTAAACAAGTACATGAATAGTAAAACATTAATCTCTAGGCATAATGTAGTGTATACTTATGTTCAATAGGAGTGAGTGAGTTTACTTTTTCGCCGCACTAAGCAATATTTCAGTTATATGGCGGCGGTCTGTACACAATCGAGTCTGGACCAGACAATCCAGTGATTAACACCATGAGCATCGATCTACGCAATTGGGAAATGATATGTGTCAACCAAGTCAGCGATCCTGACCACCCGATCCTGTTGGTCGCCTCTTACGACAAGCATGGGTTACTGAAGATTAATCTTAACCCAAATCTTCACCGTCTGTTCAATAAGAACTCATCAGTTAGTTTTTAAGCACCCAAAACTAAACCTAAAACTACAAACTGGTGCAGTGAAACTACAGCACCCTAGTGACATATTGTGAACACTGTCTATCTAGGTGTCTATGTGACTACGCATCTGTGAGATTCTCAACTCCCTGGGGAGAATCCCGAGAGTCCCCTGTCATATACAAGCAGAAGGACACTAGTCATGCAGGTTACATGCTAACTGTGGAATGATAATGTGGGGAGCTTATAGCTCAGTCAGCAATATTTCAGCAATATTTCAGCCACATCAAGAGTCAACTACATGTGACAGTCATTGGGAAGACAAAACCATGACTGGTCCATGCTGTTGGGAAGACTGCAGTCATGTGGACTGAGCTGGTCATGCCAGGTTGAACACATCCTAATTTCACCATCTGAACATGCATTCAGTCAAATGGCAGGCCATACTTCATAACTGAAGGTTAAGTGAGTGAATTGTTCATCAGCAAGTCGTGGTTCAAGGTGAGAAAACTATCAGGAACATCACACTTGTGTATTGTTAGCAATTACGCAAAGTTCATTCATCGAATGAATCACAAGTGAAAGGTGGTGAGTGTAATTACCGTAGTACCAGTCTTACTACTATTTCATTATTGTGCTATGAGTGAGTTTAGTTTTACTCCGCTTATAGCAATATTCCAGCAACATCACTGCAGGTGACACCAGAAATGGGCTTCACACATTGTACCCATGTGGGGAATCAAACCCAGGTTTTTGCGTGATGAGTTGAGTTAACCACTTGGCTACCTCACCGCCTTATTGTGCTATGAGCCTATTACAAGTTTACTGAAATGGTAAGCGTGATTCTAACACCAATACTACTCATGATACTGTTTCTATAGGTTCTATGTATGCAAAAGGGATGAAAATAATTAAGTGCTTGTGTTCAAAAACATTTATCATGATATATATTTTTCAGAGCTAAGCAATCATTGAATATATAATAATGTACAATGTTAAAATTCATTCTGAATGTTATTTATGATAGAAATGACTCAAAAAGGTTCAAAATTTAAATTTTAAAAATTTGTTTAAATTTAAATACAGAGCAAACGTTTCATCAAAAAACCCTGTTCCATACAAATTCAACTATTTCATTCCCTTTGTATGCAATAACACTACAATATTCTATAGTCAAAATGCACATTTTCTTCTTCAGCTAATAATCATTGACCGTACACCAAGCATCCTCCTAGCACTACCCCTTCCTAAAAAAAACGTCTACTGTTCAACGTTTCTCTAGATATGTAGTACGTAGCCATTGGTTACAAACATACTTGCAGGAAAGACAAAAGTAAGTTGAAACCAAGCTTATATTTGCATAACAATAAATCGATGCAACAAAATAGTTCGGAAAAATAGGTGATAAGAAATGGAAAAGAGTAACCTGAAATAAGGACACACCCGCTGTTTACTATCCTTATAAAGAAGTGGATTTACGACTAACTAGTACAGCCAAATAAGCATTTTTGTCATGAGATAATTAGAAGGCGAGACAAATATTACAGGTATTGATGAACGACAAACTGTTAAAACAGCAAGTTGCTTAGAATGTTAAAGCACACAAAATGTCAGAGGTGAATGATTAAAAGAGAGAAATTAATGCTTTATATTTTCTATTTCATTTAAAAATATTCTCAGTTTAAATTATAATTGCCTATAAGTTATGAGGCATTTCAGAACGAGGCTCTGATATATGATGCATTAATTTGGCAATAGCTTGTTAATAGTAAATCCTTTATGCAAATATAAAGATGTAAGAGCAGCTGGTTGAACCTCCACTCACTTGTCTCTGAGTCAGCTGTCATAAGTCACAAAGAAAACCAAATAAGATTGAAGCATAAACGGACAGATGTTAGGCAACAAAATGACTTAACAATCTCTCAGGCACTTTTCATCCTTAAGGGGAGACAACTGTCCCAACCTGGGGCCACTTACCTGCCCTTAGTTTACTTCCTGAGAAAATGTTCCAGCATTTTGAAATGTTCAAAGATAGGAAATGGGTAAAATCGAGGGGAATGAGGTGGACCAACCCACAAGTTGATACTATGGGACAATTAACTCTAATGGAACTGTAATAGTAGGCTTATTCATGGTATTAGAAAACGTATAAAAGGTTAGCCTCGAATAAATAATAAGAAGGTATTCAATTGTTATAACATGCTTCTGTGATTCAACTCTACAAAAGATATGGCAATAAATTAGTTACTTTACAATTAGAACTGCAGATATGTTAATCTCCATGCAAAGATATGAGGAATTCAATTTGTTAAGTCCTAAATACATCATTAGCCGCATGGAAAACACACTGCTATATTATGAAAGAGTCTGTAAATGTATAACTTTTTTTAAATACAGCTAAGACAGAATTAGTTACAGAGATAAAATCAACAAAAGGAAATGGAACCAATAAAGGTTAGAGTAGGAATCTAATCTAGTCCGATGTCCACAAGATTGTAATACTCCATTCTTGAAGGAGACCACGCTTGACAGCTTACCTTGCCATAGTCTTCAGAACCGATCTGACTCTCGATGTCCATGAGCCATGACTCGACATCCTCAATGTTTCGGTTGAACTGCTGTTGCTGAGCTGCTTCCTTCAGCTTGTTGCCTAGCAACAAAATTTGTACATGCATATATTCAGAGGCTAAACTACTTAAATTGACATATGAAAAAATGCATTTCATAAAAAGTGTCAAAGATAAATACAGTTTCGATAAAAACTATTCACAATACAATTTATAACCCAAATATATTAACACTGCATTTCTATGTATATAAAAACAATGTCAAAATAATGTCAATTTCATCATAAGAACATACTGTCAGTGAACCCATCAGAGCTCCAGATAAGCCTTTGGCCATGTGGTTTTGATACCCATAGTTTTTAAACTAAGTAGGTATTTCCAATTTCAAGGTGGTATCTATACTTTCTGATACCCACCATATTTTTAAGATCCTGGTATTCATATCAAATAACAAGTGTAAGAGGTGTGCCTGACACACACTACAACATGATCTCATTAGACCTTTTTTTATTCAAAATTAACCATGGATATTTTCTTTTCCACGTAGCAACTGGGTTATTCTCAAAACCTTGTTCCCATCATGTTGTTTCACTTCCACGCTCGCTGAATAGCTAATGTTACAAGTCCATTTAAGATATCAACCGCTAATTGATTCTGATTGTGAAACACAGCATAATATGAATTCATCCAGCAGTCCTCTAATGAAGTTGTTTTCTTATTGTAGCATATTGTTTTATAGATATTTTACTTTGAGCGTGTGGAAGCATTTGACCATGCTTGTTTTGTTTACAGGACATGTATGAGCCAGCAGCGGCTATTTGATTGAGTCGCTATTTATAGATTGGCCAATCAGTGAAGATTAACAAACTATGACTAGTATTCTATCTGTGTGTTAGCATCTTAATTGGGTTTAGAATTATTCAAGAATATTTTAATCCACGAATATTTGGAGATGGAAAAGTTTGTTTCGATTGGCTGAATTGATCACGATGCCAACATAATTTTGATGTATTTGGTAAATCGCATTTTATTTTGACATGAAGCGTAGGCATTATATATTTAGTGTTTTTTCATATGCTGGCATTTATTTTTCTTAAGCATTATTTCAACTTTTCTATAGCATATTATACACAAATATGCAGCTTATCTAGACTCTGCCCATGTTAATTTATGCTCCTACTCAAAGCATGTAAATATTCAAAACAACGTAAACAATGAAGGCTTTTTAAACACAACTTTTGAGCTACTATAATTCTGTTGCATAGAGTGATGTTAGGATTGTCATGTAAGACTCTATGCTACCCAAGAAAGTTGGTTTCCATAAAATATAACAAATTGTCACAGCATACATCAATGCAATAAACTTATAAAGTAATGAAAAGATGAAATTAAATTATGTGAAGGTCATCATAAGAACATACTGTCAGTGAACCCATCAGAGCTCCAGATAAGCCTTTGGCCATGTGGTTTTGATACCCATAGTTTTTAAACTAAGTAGGTATTTCCAATTTCAAGGTGGTATCTATACTTTCTGATACCCACCATATTTTTAAGATCCTGGTATTCATATCAAATAACAAGTGTAAGAGGTGTGCCTGACACACACTACAACATGATCTCATTAGACCTTTTTTATTCAAAATTAACCATGGATATTTTCTTTTCCACGTAGCAACTGGGTTATTCTCAAAACCTTGTTCCCATCATGTTGTTTCACTTCCACGCTGCGAATAGCTAATGTTACAAGTCCATTTAAGATATCAACCGCAATTGATTCTGATTGTGAAACACAGCATAATATGAATTCATCCAGCAGTCCTCTAATGAAGTTGTTTTCTTATTGTAGCATATTGTTTTATAGATATTTTACTTTGAGCGTGTGGAAGCATTTGACCATGCTTGTTTTGTTTACAGGACATGTACGCAGGAACGGCTATTTGATTGGTCGCTATTTATAGATTGGCCAATCAGTGAAGATTAACAAACTATGACTAGTATTCTATCTGTGTTGCGCATCTTAATTGGGTTTAGAATTATTCAAGAATATTTTAATCACGAATATTTGGAGATGGAAAAGTTTGTTTCGATTGGCTTGAATTGATACGATGCCAACATAATTTTGATGTATTTGGTAAATACGCATTTTTATTTTGACATAGCGTAAACGTATATATTTAGTGTTTTTTCATATGCTGGCATTTATTTTTCTTGCGTATTTCAACTTTTCTATAGCATATTATACACAAATATGCAGCTTATCTGGAGCTCTGCCCATGTTAATTTATGCTCCTACTCAAAGCATGTAAATATTCAAAACAACGTAAACAATGAAGGCTTTTTAAACACAACTTTTGAGCTACTATAATTCTGTTGCATAGAGTGATGTTCGGTGTCATGTAAGAATCTACCCCGAAACACTCTATGCAATAAACAAGAAGATGAAATTAAATGTCAACAAAAACATGACCAGTCAACCTCTCTTGATATCTGGCTCTTTAGTTGTTCAAACACACACATATTTTCAAGACTGACTTTGACCTTGACATGATTGTCATAGTGTATGAAATATGTAAAACTAGTACTAAAGAAATTGCTTATTGAAGTCTATGAAGAAAATCCACTGAACTGTTCTTAAAATATCTTGCTGACAATTCAGGTTAACATGCTGAAATCTTCATAGTGTCGCCGTGACCCTACAAATTATGTGAAGGTCACCAAAATTGACTGGGCCCTGGGCCTTCCCTAGATGAAGCTTGGTGTCAAATATGAAGAAAATCCACTGAATATTTTTTTACGATATCTTGCTGACTATCTTAACATGCAATTTAACATGCTGAAATCTTCAAAGTGTCTCTGTGACCTTGAAAACTAAGTGAAGGTCACCAAAATCGACTGGGCCCTGCGCCTTCCCTGGATGAAGCTAGGTGTCAAATATGAAAAAAATCCATGGAACGGTTCTTGAGATACAGTGGAAGCTTTCAAAACCGGCAGCTGTCCAATTCGGCAAGTTGTCAACACCGGCATAATATCTCAGTCCGTGGCTAGTACATTTATCATCATTTAAAAGCTCTGCGATCCGGCAGCTGTCAATTCCAGATCTCGGCATGAAATGAGCAAGGAGTCAACCAGATGTGTATTCTCATCAATTTATCCTGCGTTGATTACATGGTTGCCGATAAAGACAATTTAATATAAGTTCAGCATGGGTATGAGTTGACATGTTTTATTGTGATACAGCATTGTATATGAGAGTGACAAAACTGGTCCACTCCTAGTTGGAGATAACCATGTCAGCTCTACAATCCGGCCCGCTGTCTAAACCGGATTATTTCTTCAGTCCCGACGAGTGCCGGTTTAGACAGCTGCCACTGTATTCCAATTAGTACAGACGGAGCCTAATACTATATATACTAATAAAGATTTAAATACCTTTCTTCTCTGTCTGTGAAAGCAGAGTAGCCCAAAGGTCGTCAATTTCATCAAGTCGTTCCTTGATGGCCGGTGACTGAAAGTTCTTGTTGTCAATGAGATCTTGTCCAGTCTGTTTGATTGTTACAATGCGGTTTTTGTTGGCATCCAGCTCGGCCTCGAAGTTGGTATGTTTCTGCAGCTTGGTGTTAAGATTTGTAGGGTCCTGAAAACAGGAAGTAAGAGTTTATAGAAAGCAATAGGGATATGAACTGTATCTCTGCTGGATTGTCCAGTGTGAGAGAGGCTGGTTTGAGACATTCTATTGGGCAAATCTCTACAAACAACCAAAGAAGTGCGGACTCACCAGATAGCTTTCATCGGAGGCTGTCTTGAGCTTCTCATTGATCCAGCCCTTGGTTTCATCACAGTCCCTCTCGAAGATCTGGTACTGCTCAGAACTCGACTCCAGTTTCTGCTTCTTGATCCAGCCCTTGCTCAGATCTCTCGTGAAGCATGTTATGCTTGCTCAGACGACGGAGAAGCTGGAACATGATAATCAAAGCTTAATACACATAACCTCTGGCTTCATCAAACTTGGTACCTACAGGTAACATAGGTAATAGGTAATATTAAATTGGGTATACATGTATATAGGTGACAATATTAACATTAAGCTACCTTTTGGTAGTACGTAGAGGTTACACTAACACTGTTAACTGGAGGTAATATCATACTTGGAACCTACAGGTAACATTAAAATAAGGAAATAAGTACCATCACACAAGACAATTACAGGTAACATTAAACTAGGTAACTACAGGTAACATTTAACAAGGTAACTGAAAGTAACATTGCACTTCGCGGGCAACAGGTAACACATTTAAGACACAGGTAACTTTAAAATGGAAAGAAATAAAAGCACCACACCAGGTAATTCACGGGTAACATTAAACGAGGTAACTACAGGTAACATTCTTGTTGCACCCACCTGGTCTCTTCTGGCAGCTACCTCATCAGAGGCATAGTGCTCACTCTCAATCAGCTTAGTTGCAAACTCATCAAGGGCCTGGAATACAAGCTTACATTTAGACAGTGCAATCAACAGGACTAAACATGCAAATCCTATCACAACACTATAAATACAAACTTTTGCCTTTAGGTTACTAGTATATATCGCAGCTAAAACTTGATTGTGATAGAAAAAAGAATAGCTAGAGCAACGTGACCTTGATGTACAAGTTACAATCAAAGTTAGGATACACTGACAGATAGTACAATCATGGAAAACTTACTGAATCCTTAACAAGAAACAGTGAACACCTATTAATCTGGAAAATACTTTCAACTAAAGGTTCCTCAATTACAAGGTTGCACTTTACATGACAGACTGCTATTTCTAGCATGGGATAACAATGTGTCTAAGGATCATGTGCCAATACGTTAGATGTGAGTTTTGTATTTTCTAGACCCACAATAACATACCTTGATCTTCTCCTCCTGTGCGGCGAGGGACTTCTCGAAATCCTCGTGTTTCTTGATGAGGGCCTCCACACTGTCGAGGGAGTCTCCCAGATCCTCGTTGGCAAGGAAAGCCTGCATGATAACAGATAGATGTATTCACCGTTACCTCAAGCTACAGGCTACCTGAAGGCCCAGTTACATGCTTCAAAGAGTGAATTACACACGGTCTTATATACAGGAAAACAAATGATTGCCTTCCGAACTGAAAGACATTATTCAAATTTGAAATAATGTGGAACAATAATATTACAGATTGTTCAAGAATATTGCTCCGTGGATGCTTGTGTGTGTGTTTGTTAGTACTACTGTTGATTAAACCCAACTTGAAGTGCCTGACACTGATGTACCACATTACTGTGCATCACCAGGCAGAGAAACAACAAGTACCATCTTTTAGTATGACACTAGCGTTGGGAATTGGTTGAAATCTCACAATTGATGATTGGTTCATTACCAACAAGCAATCTTCTAAAAAACTTGGTAGCATTATTTTTCAGATTTTCCTATTCAGATTGTTATTACAGATAAGTATAACGTGGTTCTCTGTTGTTTTCGTTTTATTTAGAAACTGCAGAATTTGCATTTGCAAACCTCACATCCAATGTAAAATGATGCAACTTGCTACCTTAAAGTGATGACTCATATATCATGAACAAGTTCCTGGAGTCTTCAAGAAATATTCAGTCATGACTTTTCAGGAAGTGATTTTTCTAAGAATTAAACATGTTTTCAGGCCCTGACAACATCTAAGAAATGTTCCATCATCAAGTGTTTCAAACACTAAACAGTATTCCAAAATCGTTTGTGTTAAAATATGAGAAAATGTGATTGTTTGCTTGGTCATCTGGTCACTGCAACCAATCTTCCATTATTTTAATTAATCGGAACACCACTATATGACAGGGCCAGGAGATCCCTCTAAGCGGTCCTCCAAGTACGTACCTCCTGTTTGGTCATCCAGGCATCAGCCTGCTCCGTGTCCCTGATGAACAGCTGCAGGTCCATGCACTGTTCGTACAGAATGCGTCGCTCCTCCCACAGATTCAGGAGACTCTCCTTCTCGTGACGCAGAACGTCCAGCTTCAATCAGAAAATACAATGGGTCAGAGGCTTCGGGCAACAGGATCACTCAAATATTCATAGCATTAATTATAACAATAATAATAATGGCTACATTTCCATAACGACAAATTCCAAGCTGGCCAGTATGCTCTCAGGGCTCAAACATGTTCATTCCAGTCAATGGATCAGTGTCCACTCAAATTTCATTCTCAGCTCCCTGGGGCTCATACAATTTGGGAACAGAATTTAAGATAACCTTTAAGTTTCTATAAATTTATTATTTAAAACAGCATTTTGATCAAACAGAACTGATTGTACCTTTGCAGGTTTTTAGATTACAAAACTACCACACTGCATCAATGAAAACCAGATCTTGTGCCATTAGTTAGATAAGTGACCCTACCTTTTCACGGACTTCATCCGAGGCGTAATGGTTGGTATCAACCAGATCTTGAGCCATTAGTTAGATAAGTGACCCTACCTTTTCACGGACTTCATCCGAGGGGTAATGGTTGGTATCAACCAGATCTTGTGCCATTAGTTAGATAAGTGACCCTACCTTTTCACGGACTTCATCCGAGGCGTAATGGTTGGTATCAACCAATCTCTGCCCAGCCTCAGCTGTTGACTTGAAGCTGTCCTCGCGAGCATCAATCTCTCCCTGGAAGATGGAAACAGGGCATATATAAAAGCACTGACATGTACCAAATATCGACAACCAACACATCAACAATTTGAGCGTTTTTCAAGAATATCTGAATCATACTTCATCAATATCTATGTCATCTGATTATCTTCATATGACATTTTCACACACAAGAAGAAAACTTTTCCTCTATTGCGACATTTTGTAACTACAAATATACTGACTTGAAAATGACTTCACTCTTGAACGGACTCTAACATCCTACCATTATCATTGGCTTTGTTAGAGACAGGACAGTTTGAGTCCGAAGGAAATCTATTCAGTTTCCGTCTGGCTTCATTTTTATGAACAATCCGAGCAATAACCACGCTTCTCTGCTCTCACCTTGTGTTCCTGGTGTCGCTCAAGAAGAGCCTCTGCACCAGCCACATCCTTGGCCAGTTCATCAGCAGAGATGATTGCCTGCATGTCGTGGATCCATGACACGAGGTCCCGAAAGTCCGCCAAGAAACGGTGAAGGTAGTAGGAGTCATCGAGGTGAGACCTCCTTCCGATGCCTGTAACAAAAGAACATGACTTTAGTAGACAATCAGTGGGTTTAGAATAATGAAATAAAATTTCCTACAAATCTGCACTGACTAGTGCAGCCTAAGTATATGAGCAGACGTCAAAATATTCTACAAACCAGTTAATAAATATCCATGAAATACACAATGCCATTTTAGAAAGTGGTCAAATGTAACATATGTTATATTTGGGATTACACTTTCTCAGTGAAGTACAGATTCTAGTACTTTTTTGGGTTGAGTCCCATCCGGGATTCAAACCCACACCCCCAGAGTCAGGCACCTAATCGCCAGCACACAATAATAAATATCCCTTGCTTCTAATGAATACCTTGTATAGATCTAAAATTTCCCACTGACAAGTCTGCACTGGGAAGACTATGGGGAGACTATGAGGAGACAGCATTGAGAGCAGACGGCCAAAAATCCTTAAAAAAGAGATACGTTGCTTCTAATACATCTCCTTGTAAAGATCTAAAAGCTTACATAGTTAAATACAATGTACCTTGGTCCTGAGTCTGTCCCAGTTCTCCTCAATCTCGTTCTGTTTGCCGCTGATCTGTCCAGCTTGTTCCTGGTGAATCTCCTGCAGCCTCTTAGACTCGGCACCCAGAGCTGTCACCTGTAATCCACAATAAACCCACTCAACAAAACACATAACACAAAGGCTTAAACCTATTTTAATTGTTGGAAATTTCCACCAATCAGCAATAAGCATATAATTGAGTCTGGATTTAACAAACTTCAAACCCTCACAATCAGGTTCTGATGACAAGCAATATCCATTTTGTTGTGGACTATGTTACAATTTGTTCGTTATTTCTCTGCTAAGGGTACTTTGGAATCCAAGATACTTTCCTGCATCTTGGTTGACACATGTCATCATATCCCAACTGCGTAGATCGATGCTCATGCTGTTGATCACTGGATTGTCTGGTCCTGACTCGATTATTTACAGACCGCCGCCATATAGCTGGAATATTGCTGAGTGCGGCGTAAAACTAAACTCACTCATCCAATTGCGCAGATCGATGCTCATGCTGTTGATCACTGGATTGTCTGGTCCTGACTTGATTATTTACAGACCGCCGCCATATAGCTGGAATATTGCTGAGTGCGGCGTAAAACTAAACTCACTCATCCAATAGCGCAGATCGATGCTCATGCTGTTGATCACTGGATTGTCTGGTCCAGACTCGATTATTTACAGACCGCCGCCATATAGCTGGAATATTGCTGAGTGCGGCGTAAAACTAACCTCACTCACTCACTATTCTGTAGTACATCAATATACCAATAATATTCTCTAGCAAGATGGTAAACACATCTATTCATTGTCTATATCCTGTGTGATGCCACATTCAGCAATCCTACTGCATGTTGGCAGAATGTAAATAATCAGATCTGGACCATACAATCCAGTGATCGATATTCTGAGCAACAATCCATGTCATCATGGTAAGATTACAGTTAAATCAACCAATCAACACAGAGCCTGAGCACCCACATCCTATGACCAGCACAACTCGCTACAGGCTGCAGACCAATTCAAACCCTGAATCCCAATGGGGTTTACATCAGTGAACACACTAATGGGTTAAGTGTTCACAAGGACAAGGAGTGTACCTTTTCTTCCAGTGCAGCGAGGTCTCGTTCCACTCCCTCGTGTTTACGCTGGAGAGTCTGCACGCTGGCCAGGTCACGTCCGAAGTCATCCGACGACAGCACAGCATCCTTCTCCTGAATCCACGCGATGGTCTCGTCAGCATCTCTGTCAGAAGAAACATCCAACTAGAACCATGTGCAAGTGAGGTGAGGTGAAATTGGGTTTAACGTCGTGCTTGAGAATATTTCGCTCATATGACGACGTGCATGCGTGTGTATGTGCGGCTGCTTGTACTAGCCCAGACTTAAGCTGGTTTTATAGTCCTAGCCCACTGAGATACCATGCCGCAGTGAAGCATGAATACCCCACTCAGACACAGTATACTGACTCCCGAGCCGACCAGTCCTTGTTGTACCCATTAATGCCGAGCGCCAGGCAGGGACCAACAAGTACCATATTTTAACGTCTTTTGGTATGACGCTGTCGGGGATCGAACCCGCGACCTTCCGCTCTCCGGGCAGACGCTCTAACCACTTCACCATGGAGGCGGCCCCATGTGCAAGTGAGGGAACTCTTATAAGGTGATATCAAGATAGCAATGGTGTAATGATCATGGGGAATTGAAGTAAATGCATATACGACGAAAAATAGATGGCATCTAATTAATTCTTAACTATCAAAATATTTCACATTTTGATGAATATGTAGTATGACAGATGTAATAGTGAGTGTATATGGTTTTACATTGCTTTCAGCAATATTCCAGCAATATCACAGATTGGAACTCCTGAAATGGCTTCACACATTGTACCAATGTGGGGAATCAAACCCGGGTCTTCAGCGCGTGACAAGCAAAGGGTTTAACCATTAGGCTACCCTACTGCCCTCACATGAAAGAGACATATTTGGATGTCATACTGACCTGTTGAATCTCTGGATCTCGTGAGCTCCAAACAGTCTCTCTTGTCTCAGCAGGGAGAGCTGCTTCAGGCGCTGCCATGCCTCATTCACTTCCTGAAGCACACAATAAAGCACATTTAGCACACATACAATGGGACTAACACTTATTCCCTCACCATCAGTTGGCAGAGATTATTTTGGTACAGAGACAACTTGACTTCAAATGAAGTGACATTTACTGATATTATCAGCTGTTTAGATATACAGTGATGTACTCTTCTTCAAATGCAGTGATATATTCAACTATAGTGGTTTATGGTGATATACTCTTATTTTGTACCGATATACTCTGAACTTTACTGAAAAAACTGTAGTACAGCTACTTTAAGTGATATTCTCAAATCTAATGTCACACAAGGCAAGGACTCACCTGTTGCCTCTGTCTGATAGTTTCCTCATCAGGGTGGCCATCTGCCACCAGCTTGTCGGCAAGGCTGTTCACCTCAGTCACCTTGTCCTCATGGTTTTGCAAGTCCTGTTGAAGGTAACACATATATCATCCATCAACACATACAGAAACAACAGTCAAATTAATATTTATACTTAGTCTAATATCTTTTAATTTTTTTCTTGCCGTTTTGTCAAGGTCAAGTATAATAGATTTTATTAAAATTTCTATCAACAGTTTAGGCATGCTTGTTTCAGGAGGATTTGCTTGTCTGAATTTGAGGTCTACTCACCTTGTGAAACTCATCAAACTTCTTCTGCAGTACCTCCACATGTTCCAAGTCTTGTCCGAACTCCTCGGATGTCACAAATGCTTCCTGCATAATCAACATGTAATGAATATTTCACTACTGTCAACTGCAAACTCAATATCTATACACAGACATTTCTTTTTAGGCATTATTACTTTAAGTAAACACTGGGACAATGAAAGCAATGAATGCGATGCAACCAGTTTAAAGCTCATTTTAGGATAGTGGTTTAGTGACATGTACAAAAGATTTTGAGAGAGAACAGTCCTTCTATAGTTTGACAAACTTCGAATCTGGAGCACAATATGACGTGTCTAGTTAGTTCCTAAGAGATCAATAATTCATTATAATTGATCTTCGGAAAACACCAGTAGCTAATTGCATGCCATGTTTCGAAAGCAAGTCAGAAGTTTGGCATCCATATAGTTCTATTTCTTGTTGGATTGTAGGACCATGTCCACACCTGGGAACATGAATCAAGATGACTAACCTTGTCTGAGATCCAGAACATGACCTCATTGCACTCTCTCTGGAACTGAACGAGACGCAGAGCCTGTTGCAGCTTGAGACCCTTCTCAGACAGCTTGAGCGGAGCAGCAGCTCCCAGAGGCGGTGCAGCTCATCCAGGCGTTCCTGTGGACACATAAGGATACATTAAAGCTAGACAGGGCACCCACAGGCAATACAACTCATCCAGGCTTTCCTGTGGACAGGAGAGATGTGTATAGTGAGTCAGTCAGTGATTTTCAGTTTTATGCTGCATTTAGCAACATTCCAGCAGTATCACGGCAAGGGACTCCATGAATGGGTTTCACACTTTGTACCCATCTCAGGAATCCAACCCAGGTCTTTGGCATCACAACAAACACTTTAACCACTTTGTTTCCCCACCACCCAACATGTATAGAAACACAGAACAAAGGAATACATTATAAGCATACAGACAGGGTACTGCCAAGAGATGCATCTCATCCGACCGATGTTAGGGGAAAGATATTTATATAAGCAGACCATATCATTATTGCTTCTTCTTTCAGACACATGTTGTCTTTACATAAACTTCAATAGTAAGTATCACGTCAATGATCATGTTTCTGAGAATTATTTTAAACTCAACAAAACACAAGACACTGCTCTGATCACCTCCATCACTTGTATCATGTCCTACCTTTATGATCTCGGACGCAAAGTGGCCTTGAGAGATCATCTCGTTTCCGGTCTGGTCCAGAACATCAATGGCATTGCTGTGAGCGGCAACTTCAGCTTCAAATGCCTGATGTTTCTGAATCTTTGCCTGAAAAAACCCCAAACAAATTCAGCATACTCTGTCCGTAAAGAATATAGTACCGAAAAAGGAACAACTTATTGGAAAACAAGCAATGGAAATATATACTATTCACACTTTGCTATGGATCAAATCATGGATTCAACAGAAAACTATGATGTGGGGTCAAATTTGGTTTAAATATCTAAGCTTATTGTAAGCATGGACCCCAGGTTTCAGTATGTCATTGCATCTTGTGGATCCCATACCTGCTACTGACAGGTGTACTTGTCAATGACTAGTTCCATGATTTGCAAAATGGATGATTGGTGCCATGAAGACCATTTTTCTGGTTACTCATGTATCAGGTGCATAAGGTTAGATTAAAGTGACTGTTTGCCTAAAGAGGTGACACCATATTATTATTTTTCCAGTTTTAAATTGACAAAATTTCAAATTATACAGATCTACATTTAAGTAAAGTTGTGAATTTTTGTGATCCTTATCAAAGTATGAGTAGCATAGGTAGGCAGGGTGGAATTTGAAACTGTTTTTCTTCACTTTAATAATAGGAAGCAGACACCTTCCATACAACTGATTAATGTGTAAACATATACTCTGAAACATCATGTTCCTCATATTGGAGAAGTTGCATCTGGAATATTTCTCCGTCAAGTGTATTACTTCTAATAAGGATAATAATAACAACAACAAAACCAATAATGCATCTAAAGGACGATCGCGGTGGGCGAGCTGGCTAAAGCGCCAGGCTAGTCATCCAGCGAGCTTGAGGTGACGGGATCGAGCCCACCTGTGACCGGGTGTAAAAACCTTGGAGTCAACTTTGTGTGCAGACTCTTTCAGTGTTGTCACAACCCCTAGTGTACAGTACGCAACCCTGTGCACTTAAAAGAACCCAAGAATTCGTTGCTTTATGGCCAGATGGTGGTCACATGAATACGTGCAAACACCTAGTTGCGGGTACAGCAACATGCAGTAAAACTTGGACAAAGTACTGTGACTATGTGTCCCAGTCCACCCAGCTGTGAATGGGTACCTCGTAAGGATGGGAATGCCACAGTAACTCGGTGCGCCTAGTGGCTGCAAGAGTTGTATGCTCCCCAGGAAGCTGAGATTGGCAATACGGTGTGCCATTGAGATTGACATCCAGTGAATGAGGGAAAAACAAAGCGCCTTTGAGCAGCTGGAGCTGGATATTGGAGCTATATAAATGTTAGTATGTATGTATGTATTAATCCTTGTAAACCAAAAATGTCAGGGAAGCTGACAGTATTCACCTGCAGGTTAGTAGGATCCCTGTAGCTCTCATCTGAGGCCGTCTGCAGCTTCTCGTGGATCCAACTCTCCAGTTCGTCAGCATCTCTCTTGAAGTACTGGTAGCGGCGGGAGTCCTCGAGACGTTCCCGGCGGTCCCTGCAGCTGAACTTGAAGTTGCCGTAGCGGGACAGAACTTCATCTCTCCGGTTCTGAATGTCCTCTGCTGTCTCGAGGATTTTGATCTCGCGAGGCTGGACCTCTGTTGTCGACATCTTCGGTGTCTGCAACAAATAGTCAGTGAGTGAGTGAATTTAGTTTTTTAGTTTTACGCCGCTTTAAGCGATATTCCAGCAATATCACAACAGGGCACACCAGAAATGGGCTTCACACATTGTACCCATGTTGGGAATTGAACCCAGGTCTTCGGTGTGACAAGTGAACAATGTAACCACTAGGCTACCCCTCCTTCCCCCAACAAACATTTAGGACAACAACGTCAGGTACAATGTACACTAGACACACTGCCAGCTCAACCAGCTTAAATATTGGGTCATCTCTCGGAGGGGTTGTCCTGATATTTGCCAAACATGAATACAAACTACCAACTATAACACTTTCTTCCATCTCCACAACAGTCATATAATGTCAGGGATCGAAATTCCCCTTATTTGTGTGCCAAGGGCACGGGTAAATTGAAAATGGCACGGATAAAATAACTCAGATGTGCCATAATGGCACGCTTAAAATTCAACTTACCGTTTTGAGTTTTTTTAATAAAACTGACAAAATGTTTACTGTTTGACATTCTGACATTCAAAACTTATCCAAAAATGAAATCTTGCAACGTCTGTTATTTGTCATTCTCATTGGAGCCGCTATTTTGGTTTCAATTGCGCATGACAGGAGATATCATTAGTGTCATTCTTTGCATTCTGGGACAGGATGTTTACCCCATGCGACGAAGCAGATGATAGCGCTAGCTTAAAATGTCCGAGAAGAAAAACAAACCAATTTTAAATTTCTTCAAACCCATGCAGGCCAAACTAAATTAAACCTCTGAAACAAAACAACAAAGTCATTGTCTGTATTTTTAAATTCATATTACAATGTCATGATGATCCTTGGCACACTTCTATGTGTTAGGGCACACCTGAATTTTACATTGGGTGCCTTAAGGCTCCCTTGGAAAAAAATACATTTCTATCCCTGAATGTTCACTTATGTTTTTCCTTAGTTCAACCCCTGAACCATGACCAGCTACATAGTTGGCAGAACAGTGAAATAAGATTTCAAAAAGTCAATTTTCAAAGTTTCAACATGATGTTCATTCACTTATATTTTTAGATCATTAAGTAAGAACTGACACAAAGGGCATGTGTATAGACCCAGGCTTTGCATACAGCCATACCTGTATTGCAATATGTAAGACATTGACAATATTTTGCCAATACATATTTTCATGAAGTAATCAGATTTATACCCTGTATTGATGTCAGATACAGTTAGTTTCCTCCATTAATTTCCCTCCATCAATAAATGTATGATTTATATTAAGGAATAAAAAGCAACAAAACAAGGAAGCTATGCATATACGCTAAATCAATCAAATGATCATCATAGGCAAGCTGTAGCAGGAAGATGATATATTCCATCTACATATCGCTTATGGAATACATAAATATCATAAAATATAAAATTCATAAAATAATCTTTTGTATATTTGATCCAATATCAGGGTTTTACATGATGCGTGATTCCTGCGTATTTGACGCAACAATTTGTAAACGACTCTCAAAATATTATCAAGATTGACGCAAGTTTTATGGATGGCCCTCACAAATTCAGTGAAAAAAAATCGTTTTTTATAAGCAAAAAACGATATTGTTCGATGATAGTTTGACATTTACAGAGCTGTCAAATTGTTCCAGAGAACTCCGAGGAGACAGTAATCCTGGCTGTTTGAATTGAACAATGCTGTAGTTTCATTTGGTGGTGTGACATACACAGTTACATACTGAGAATGATTAACACAAAGAAATATTAAAATTTTCATGACTCCCAAATATTGAAAATGACTCCCCAAAATAAATATTGTGAGTCACCATGACTCCCATTTTTAAAAGTCTGTGTAAAACCCTGCAATATATTGCTACAGTTACAAATGTATCACACTAATTATTGCTGATGATTTGCACAACAGTATACCTGTGTACTACACACTCTTACTGACACGCTACTAACACTGGTTCATTTCTGCTGAGGTTATATCAGTTGACTTGTACTAAATACAATCTGTCATAAACTAGCATCGTGTTTTGATTAAATTAATAAATATTCATGACCATGAATAGGATCCCTGCAGGTAATCATGGTAACGAGTTACACAGGTGTAACAGATGGCACGCAGGTGTGTCTGTGTGAACACTGTGGTATACTAAGTAACTATCTAATCTGGGGCATTGTCAGCATCTGAATCATCAGCATCACAGTGACTTGCCAAACATTGGGATGGATGTTGTACAGAATTACAACTGGAGGTCCGGAGTGAGTGAGTGAGTGAGTGAGTGAGTGAGTGAGTAAGTGAGTGAGTGAGTGAGTGAGTGAGTGAGTGAGTGAGTGAGTGAGTGAGTGAGTGAGTGTTTTGCATCTTGAACAATATTCTGGGGCATTGTCAGCATCTGAATCATCAGCATCACAGTGACTTGCTAAACATTGGGATGGATGTTGTACAGAATTACAACTGGAGGTCCGAGTGAGTGAGTGAGTGAGTGAGTGAGAGAGAGTGAGTTTTGCATCTTGAACAATATTCTAGTGATACAGGTCTTTCATATTTACTGCTGGAATATTGCAGTCTGGTGTTAAACAACAAACCAGCCTACTGAGTCACTGTTTGGCATATTATCCTACACAGTAGACATTTCAGATCCCTATGTTGCTTAACAAAAGTTATATTTTGCTCATACTTGTATTTATACTTCTAATTTCTTATACACATTCTGGTTTTTTTTGTGTTGGATGGCATTACACAATCTTAATCATATTAAAGTTCCTTAGAAGTCTCTGTGTCCCTGCTGTCTGTTAAAAACAACATCATCTCAAAGCAGATTGTTCAAAGGAGAAGTTGTTCTTTCATTTGCATTCAAAGGAATATTCACAGCAGTATTCCGTTTTCACATCATTCTAAGAGATCACAAAACAGATTTTGTTCTTTAACTCTTTCAACACCAGTCAACCAGAGGCATTTACTGCCATGACACCGAGTTCCCAGAGACTCTAAGGTCACAGATGAAGCCTATGTTTATGAAGGAAATTATAAGCTTGTAAAACGTTATTACTACTACATCTCATACACCATTTAAAAGATCTAATCCCACTGTTGATAAATATGAAGTTTATTTTTATAATATAATTCAAATAATACAACTACAACTTAAATAAATTTATTTTTTAATGAAAATGCAAGTTTACATTTATAATGTCCAGATAAACCATGAAAGAAGCAAAAACTATGGCGATTTTTTTCCATTTGTGACATGTCATAACATGCCCGTGCCTTTTTCTTTTATATTTTCATTTTTACGTAATCAGAAAATTATTACAAAAAGATTTCTTAAATAATATGTATGGTCGCTTATTTCCCGATATCAGTGGCTTTCCGCTCGGTAACAGGACAACAACGGAAAATACCATGCGAGGCAAATCGTTTGATGTCGGGTATCGTTCGAAAGCTCTGAACATCAACAATATCACTGTACCCTTGCCAAGAGTATTTTCACAGTTGTACGAAGCAATTTTATTGGATAAAGATTGGTTTCTAATGACGCTTTTTCGCAACAGTCTGCTATAAGGGTCGTGATTGGTCAAAACCAGACATGTGACCTAAGGCAGCCAATCATATTATGGCAATGGATACCGTCCTCGTAAAAGAAAACTTTAAGATTTAGACGAAAGTTTTGGGTAAAATAATGCTATTCTGAACATATTAAGCAAGAAATCGCTACCTATACGTAAATTATTGGACTAATTGGACGTATCGTGCTAGGTTATGACCTGTGACAAAAATGCTTCATGCATATATTTTCCCATTAAACATCGTGTCCGAGCGTGAAGATTGAGGCGGCGAGAGCAGAGATGTCACTTGTCAGTGACTTGACTTGCATTACATGATCGCACAAAAAGATGGAAATAGTCAATATATATGTACGTTTGACAACTTTTATGAATGCTGTTGTTGATTTTATTCATTAGTTTATTTAATTTATTTAATGATTTCCTCAAAACATCGTTACTTTGCTCTTTGACAATGTTATTGTGGACCCGCTGCCGTCCGAGAATCGTTGTTTTCAATAACATTGCGAAAAATAGTTTATAATTTTAATTCTGCCGATAATATATGATCAATTGAAATTTAATAAGTGTTTTCAGACATTGTGAAATGTGATGGATTTAATATATGAATCATAAGTCAGGTAAGTTCCTAAAATTATGTCTCATTTTGACATGACTACTGCCTGGCCGATTAATCGGCCTCTGGTGTCTGGGGACTCATAACGTTGTGGCCGATTATTCGGCCTGCGGTGTTGAATGGGTTAATTTAATGCTCATTACAATCTACTAAGCTCATAAACCTTGAAAATATAACATCAAAATTATATTATACACCCAAAAGTGAGTATGGTTTGATGCTGCCTTTAGCAATATTCCAGCAATATCATGGTTACTGACACCAGAAAAGGGCTTCACACATTGTACCCATGTGGGGAATAGAACCCAGGTCTTCAGTGGTGATGGGCCAACGCTTTAACCACTAAGCTATCCATATACCTAATACATATGTGATAATGTCAATACAATATTCGCCTGAACTGGGGACACAAGAACAAGAAGAATCACCAATTTTCAATTGCTCCACTGAGGAAGTCGAGTGAGTTAAAATTGCATGCCACATCGACTACATCTTAGCCATCTTGTGACCAACGAAGTAGACGTGTGATTCCCACGACTCCAGCATTACTTTGTATGGAGGCAGTGTCTACCACTAATGCCAGTATCAGTTGGGCTGGTCATTGATTAAGCTGTAGAGACCCATAATGTGGAAGACTTGATTCAATCCATCCTGAAATATCTGCTGGAGTAAGTGCTGGGAAATGAGGTGCCATAACGAGGAGTCCATGCTTTGATTATCGACTGCCTCAGAATGTTCCTTTGACCTAGACTGGGATAGGCCACAATGACCTTTCTAATGCTATAATTAAGTGAATTTCAATTGAGTGAGTGAGTG